AAATTGATAATTGAACGGGACGAAAACCGCGGGCATGGTCATTAATTGCGAGGGCGATTTAATTAAACACAGGACACAGTACACCGTCCTTGCCTTCCGGAAGCGTCTCGTAAAACGTGTTGCGTCACAGGTGTACGCGCGCGGCATCAAACCGTAGTGTACCTATGCGACCAATTAACTACCACGCGTCTCGTTTATCTCTGTTCCCTAACGGGCAGATTAAACGTTCCATATTTCCTTCGCGTGGCATGTGCTCTCCCTTTCTTATAAACACGTCTGCATAAACACGGCCATCATCCGTCCATGGAAACGTACGGTTGTTTAGTTGTAGCTGGAACGTTTGCGAAAAAAAGACGGAGAGACGTACGGGAGGTCGAGGGTGAGAGAAAGAGTTGGCATTAAATTTTAGGACCGTGTCAATTAGTTAAAAGCGACTAGCGGAGCGTGGGGCTCGGGTACATAAAGTCTGGCAACAGCGCGGCACTTGAATACTCATTGTAAGCACGTATAGACGCAGAGGCTGCGGCGGCCGAATCGTGTGAGCGGGCGCTCACGGAGCCGGAGAGGCCACGGCTTTTTACAGTGACACACGTGCTCCCCACTAACTTTATTTCTGACGACAGAGTCCACGATTCGAGGAGTCATCGGCACGAGAATACTTCCTTTTTCGCTACCCGCGGAGCCGAATTTACTGCAACTACGCACCCGGTTATCCCCGGTGGCTCCGTTATATACCCGGTCCGCGTTTAAACGCGCATAACCGAGATTAGGAGTCGGCCGTGTTCACGCCAACGCGGGACAGGCGAACCAGTTCGTCGCGTTCGCTTCGACGATTTTCAATGGACATTCTTCCAGCAGGATATTGCGCAATCGACCGACGACCTCGACCGTTATGAACAATGATCCGAAAACCCGCCCTGATCATCGACTAAAATCCCAAATTAGATCTTTATCTCGCTCGCGGAAAATGTTTCGCTCCTGCGCTTATCGGGATTTCATAAACGGATCGCACGTTTTATAAGCAGGGAACAGAAGAAGAAAATATATGGAACGAGGCATTGAACTCTGTTAACGCTATACCTGACATGGAGAGGGAAAAGTAAAGCGAAACTGGTTTTTAGGAAAAGCAAAGTCGTTCCTGTCCTATGAAATAACACAGGTTGGATCGGATTACGTATATCTGCCGTTCTATTATCGCTACGAATTGCCTGTTGCGGTCGCAGACACGCGATGCTCGTCACGGTCACTGTCCCATTTTTTTTTCTCGAGTTGTGCGAAATCGCTTCTCCGTATATTTAATGTAACACAGTTCGTATCCCATTTTTCCTAGGATTCAAACTAAAACGATTTCCGATTCGAAGGAGACGAGTTAACGCGAGTTATCGCGAGAAATGGAAGTTGCACTCACGCGAGAGAAAAAGCACGTGGGTTCTCACCCGACGAAAGTCCGGATGGGTTCGGTAGTTCGGTACAATTATCCTTGTCGCTTTCGAAAGGTACAAATTAGTATAGATTTGCTCCCTTTCACTATCTCAACCGGTTCATCTACAATAATAGAAGCGAGCGGTGAATTTTTAATAACCGGCGAAATACCAACACGGCCGGTATGACATTTCAATCTGCAGTTTTATGAGAGAGAAAGCACGCCCACGCGCGGGATAACAGGTCCTAGATCTGGTAGACATTCGATACTCGGCCGCCGGTTTATAAGGCCGTACTTAGATCGCACGGAATAAATTACCATATTAACTAACCGCATAGAGGTGTCCCGAACAGGGTTACTCGAGCCTCCCAATCTCGCGAATCGAGACGAATTTGAATTTTAAAGCGATACCCTCGCAGGTGTCGAGCGGTCGCCGGTCGCACCGTCGCCACAAGGCTTGTGCCGATTACGACTTACAATAAACGGCCGCAGCGACGACATACGGTTTATCTTTTTTTTTTTCTAAACGACTGGCGAAGTTTACAACTCGTTACACGAACGAAATATCTATTTCTAAGTCCGCGCCATCGCGTGCGCGACCATTCTATGCATCCGTACGTTATTGTTTTACGACATAATAGTCCGCCTGCGGTCGTCGTTTACCCGGATTTATGACTACGAGTGGTCGGGGGAAATAAAATTACGAAACGCATTTCCCATCAGGCGTTTACCATACGTATTGCGTACGCGTAAAACAAGATTGGTCAACGAACGTTTGGAAACCGTGGCCGGACACAATCGAATCCGATGACATCTTAAGCAGCTATTCCTAAATTGCTAGTAATTTTACGGTCAATTCTGGCGGGCGCGCAACGAGCGCGCGAGAATTCCGAGATGATTCATTGAAACGCAAACTCGATAAACGAAGACGTCATAAAACGATTCGCGGATCCACTGTTATGCGAGAACCAGACATAATAATAATATTGGCCGATGCAGTATGCACCAAGAACGCGGAACGGGCACTGTCCCGAAGCTGACGCCGCGCGATACGGGCGTTTCGTCGTTTCCACGCAACCGTGCCGATGCCAATTACCGGAACAATGATCGACCGTGTCGCAATAGAATCGTTCGCTCGCACGGACTCGATTTCATATTCGAAATCGAGTCCCGTAGGAAAATAACTAACGCTTCGTTAACTTCTGGCCCTTTACGAAGATATCGATGTGGCATCTAAATCGCGAAACGTTTGTACGTCATCGATGCGCAGAAATTATAAAGCAACACGTTCTATCCGAACAGGGGTGAACGTTCTGTTTCTGGTTGAACGCCGTCACCGGATACTTGGACACGGTATTTTGACAATCACAATTGAGGGAGACTTACATTTGATCAGGATGACACCATTGTGCAATTCCTCCATCTCGCGGAGGCGAGCGATCCACGCCGCGTTTCCTCCTCCAGATTAAAAGAACTGTTCGTTATATGGAGCACCGCTGGTCGCGTTTACACTCTGCGCAACGTGCTCACCGAATACGAGTTTGTGTCGAGAGCAACAACATACGCGGCACGATATCGGCGCGATTCGATTCACAGGGGAGCAGTCGAACGTCACTTGTCCAGCACTGGGGTACACGGCGAAAAATCACGGCGTACACGTGGTCACGCGGCCGGCCGCGGGCATAATTAATATCGCGGCGTGCACCGATAAGAACGCGTCCTGTCCGACGAAGAAACGCCACCGAAACCGAGTAAACATGGCCGCGCGCGCGCGCCTCTCTAACTCTCCGTGGCCCGCGGACCCGTCGTCGCGCACTGAGGGAGGTTGCATGGAAACGAAGGGCACGGAGGGAAGATAGAGAGACCGTGGGGGAGAAAGAGAAAAAGAACGATCGAGCGAGGCTGCGGCAGCTTCGCCGACTGCGAGATAGAAGGAGAAAGAGGCAGCCACGGAGGGGGAGAGAAAAAGAAAGAATGGAACTGAGGGGTGCTGCAACTCGAGAGAAGAGAGAAAATGTTAGAAAGAGAGAGTAAAAGTGCAGGCAGTCAGCGTGGAAAGGAAAGGAGAGAGGTCGACTGGTCGGTCTTGGAAAGAACAAAGATGAGAACTAGACAGAGAGAATAAAAGAGTAGGCCGTTTCGCGCCTATACGCGGACGGAAGAAGGGAGAAAGAAACCAGAGACAAGGTGAACGTGGTAGGACAAAGAGGAACAGAGACGGCATTCGAATGATGGTAGTTGGTCGAAACGATCGCGACGTGGCGCTTGAAACACTCGGTTCTCGATCCCGAGAGTGATGCGTCTGTATACGATACAAAGATTATCAAACTGTTGCTTAATATTTTAATTAAACAATCCTCTTCCACGAAGCATTTTCTAAAAGATGTATTCTTGGAACGTTACGCTCAGGCGAACAGGATAAAAGCACGATCCTTCGACCTGAAGGCATTGTCGAACGGTAAAACCGCCCGGCAGCTGGACTTTGAGAGCTCTCGTTCTTCCAAATGTATACCCAGCCTTCTGCTCTTCAAATTGACAGAGCGGTGAAAAATTCTAGGAAAACATCGAACCCTGCGAACGGAATTCGTTCTGTCCATGCTTCGACATGGCATGCAACAGCAGTGCTTTCGATATGCTCGGACGTAGACTCAAAAAATGATATTGTATATAATTCTGTTAACGAATTTCAGATTTAATTAACACAAATCAATTGTGTATTGTAATAGAGAACAGTCGGAACACCCGCCCGATATATCGGTCCCTTTCCCTCCACCCACCACGGTGCACCTCTTTCTATACCTGCGCGGAGGTAACCCATGCAGAAGGAGGGGATTATGGGTGCATAAAAGAACGAGTTCTACGGGGACCGACAGTCGGCGAGCGCTGCGCCGATTGAGGCAAAGGCCTTGAATATTTGAATTATTGAATTTTTACTTGTAATAAAGGAATATATGAAATCGTATTGTCATTTATTGCTTGTTTTTGGCTTATCGAATTCCCAAAGCAATTATCTTTGTAAATCGATTAATTCTGCGACTGGATTACACGCGTGCCGACGTTATCGGATTTATCGACCTCGATTCTAGAAACGTATTCTCACGAGACTAAACACGTCAATCTCGTGTCAAACAGTTAATACTTGTTCAATTTGTGAACGGAATCAGAAATCTAAACTACGCAGCAAGTACTACGTTGTTTAAAATTAAAACTATGAAATGAATCGACGGGGTGCGGATTAAAAAATTATCGATCAAACGATTCGTAACAAGAAAAAGATCGTCGTAAGCAATAATTAAATGCATGGTCTTTACGCAAGCGAAATATGACGCGTCTCGGAAGTCCACGCGCGCAAAGTATTTCAAGACATTTCAACATACAGCTGCTAGTCCTTTTTCCCACGCGTATAAATCATCTAATTCAGCGATAAGAGTTTCTGGCTAGATCAAAATACATCGCACGATCGGCGTTGCCAATGAGGCAAACGGCCAAGTTAGGTCAATTGTATTTATACGGTGCTTCCAGTAGAATCATACAAGAAGAAAAGAAACAAATTACCTGGAACGGCATATTATTGTCAACGATCGATCAAAGCGCGGATCTATGGATCAGCCTATGGTCGTTAACACAGCTGGGAATGGAGCACGGTCGCTCGAACAAGGAGGAAAAGAGCCTGTTGTGTAGTTTTAATGGGAGATGGCGACGCGGTTTGTTTTCCATTCTTGCTTGGCACGCATCCAGAGAACAAGCCGGTTAGGTACATACACGCTTGGAGCAACTCGCGTTTATACGCGTCTGACTATCGCTCGTCCCCACCAAATCTCGAACTTCGCAGCTTCCACCACGGCTGTGTCGTTCGCTACGACTCCCCCCTAGCTCCTCATTGAGGACTGAAACCATGTCTAGATTTTAGTACGCATCAGAATCTCCGAGTACGAGTTTTGATTGCATTCTCCGCATCAATCATCATGACGCAGACGTCTCAACACACGAAATTTCGATGTAAGTTTCAGTCGATACGACAAGCCCACGTGGCACGTCTCTGTTCGCGTCCGGTGCGACGTTCATCACCGTCGAAATTCATACCAATTGTTTTACCAACGTGCTCTCGTCGTTTCTGCTTCCACTCATAGATCAGCGATCCATTTTTGTCATACATAAATCTAACGCGACGCGCAAGTGCGACTTCCACTGCTTCGCTTGCATCGTCATCGCTGTGAGAAGCGTATTCCCACTCTGCACTGCTTTAAACATTCCAGTTCCCCTGTTCGGTTTAAGTTCCCGCCTATTTACAGCTTTAATTATCAGATTATGCTTCGGCTCACAATGCACTCGCATCGCGACGCGTCAATTGCATCCTAGACCTTTTTTCCAATACGTCGTCAAGATCATCCGTGATTCGTCATCGATCATGTAATCAAACGATTAGTCTCGTTTTTCTGACGATCAATCGACTACCTCGATGCACACGAGCGACTCGAAGAAACGCGTAACGGAATGAGTTGCTCGCGCGCCTATCCACGTGTTTCTGCGCTATTAGAATTGTTATTCGTTCCCGCTTCTTTCCCCATTCCTTTCTCTCGTTTTTCTTTACGCGGCGACCGATCCCTGTCTGCTACGTGCCTCGAGATACGATATTTCTCCTCCGGCGGTATAATAAGCGTCTAATACGAATCGTAACCATGACTACGGCGATAATAATCGCTAGTCACGCAGGTAGTCACGGGGATTTCCCCTACCGCGTTTGCGGATGTCCACAGGGACCGAGAATCTCACCTGCCGGTTCATTCAGCTCCGAAAGGATAATGGGAAGCTGTTCACCGGCCGCAAATATTCCGCCCAGGCGGGATGGGAGTAAGTAGAACCACTCTGACCCCTTAAACGTTCTAAACGTCGATCCGAGAATTCCAAATATCTCAATTTCGTTGTCGAGCAAAAAGTTTTCACCGTCAGCGCGTCTCGCATGTGCGAGGATAAAAAGGTACTGACAAAAAGTCTCGTTTGCATCATTCATCAACCGCGACGTTCTCGCGCCGGTCGACCTCGAGAGCGAAAAGACACGGGACGAGCGATTTTTCACGTGTCAAAACGCGATCTTGCCCGTCTCGTTTTACCATCGGTCACGATCTTTTTATTTCATCCTCTTTCGAACTCCTTATTAGGGACGCGAACGGTGAAACCGAAAAATAAAGAACGCGATTGCTATTATTACCGACTCCCCTCTGATTATATACGACTTGAAAAGTTGAGAGAATTGGATTTGATATGTCTATTCATTCGGTTCATCAAAATACATGAAACATATTGCTTTTTAATGAGCGGAAACATTACGCACCCTAAACGCAGCGTGTCACAAGAACGGAAACGGAAATGGACGGGAATATTGCGGTTCGTTCAGTGGCATCTTGTCCGTACTTGATCGAGTATTCTTCTTATTCTTCTTCAACCGTCCCGTTATCAGTCGAAACGCGTACGCTCGCCGATAAGAGCAAAACAATAGCCCGGTTTTATTTCGTATCGCGAATAGTGTCTTCACTGTTCGTTTCTCGGAACGCGAATCGCTTCGAATAGGCAACACAAAGAGCGAGACTGAACGCGTTTCATTGTCGTCCCTTATCTAAAATGTCTCTTTATTTACGCTCCCGATTTTTAGGTATATTTTACAACAGATGCGGGAGGAGTTCCCTACAGTGATGGCCAACGTGCAGTACAGAGTACTAAAGAAGAAATGGTCCAACTTGTTACAACAGTACAAAGTGAGATAGGCGCCTTTCAATTAACTTTGGGCCAGTGCACTGACCCCAAACTCATTTCTCGATACGATTATTTAAGATCTAACGAATTAAAAACGATACGATAGTTTTTACCTCTTTTTCTTTTTTTATTATGCATTTGATACGGAGATCTGTTAAAGGAATTGAAGAACCCGGTGCACGGGGACAGAAATAAAACGGACGACATTTCTTGGCCGTTCTACAACGCGATCGACGAGGTTGTAGGATTCGATCGGGAGAAGACGCCGATCAACGATGATTTTATCGATCCCCACGAATTCCTTTGCGTCTCCGTGACACCGGAAGAGCCTACCTCGTCCGCGGACGCGCTTCCGCTACGATTTCATCCGGAAACCGTGAGTGGGACGTGTGACTCGCTTCCGGATTACCGCAAAATCAAGAAAGCGCGATCTCCCCTAAATAGCAAGTGCGATACTTTCGGTATTCACGTATTAGAAACATTTCACTTTCCGCAAAGAATAAATAAAAATCGGTCTTTAGGCAAAGGGGGACAAATTCCATACGAAGGAGAGCCTTGCCGCGGCTACCACGTGCCACGGAGTTGATAATCGAGGAAGTGACGTCAGTGGCGGACAGCTCCGAACATTTGCGTAAGGTATGTATAGACTATGGAAACAGAGGACAGTTGTTTTAAAATTTGTACTGAACGAAACGTTTCTAGGTCTGTAGGCACGGCGAAAATGAAATAAGGCCAAGAAAGTCGCAGAGGAGAACCCGAGAGGATCGCGAGTCACGGACCGATCGATGCATCGAGCAAATCTTCGAGTACATCAAGAAACGGGACGAGGAGAACAGATCTATCATAGTACGCTTGATGCACGCCGTGGAGAGCATCGCCAACAAGCTGTAACGTTGTTTAGACGAGGAAAGACGCCTGACCACTTTCTACGAATCGTTGTGCAATCATGACGCGATCAGATTACATGGATGATGCTCGAATAACTATTATGTTCAACGTCGTAATTCGTTTTTTCTCAAAAGATTTTCTAAAAATTTGAGGAATATCGGAGAAGTAACGACATCCGGCGATCACAACGCCGGTATTGTTTCGAACGGTACAACGGCGTCCTCGAGTTTCTGTGTAGAGAGATTAGGGTAGGCCTGGGCCGTTCGAGAATCACGACAGGAGAGATCCCGCAAACCATATGGTCGAGAGCGAGTGGGCTGAGAGACTGCTCTTTTCCGAACATCTGCCCCCATGCGCACGACTCTACGTTTACAATCTTTCTGGGCTATCGACAGGATCCCGGCGGCATCGGGTAAAAGATTACTTTTGTTCGTGACGTTTCGCAGTAGCGCGAAACTCTATACCGCTAGGATCGCGTCGGGGAACTACTGGCGCAAGAAACTTTAACACGTCCATCGAGAACCGATTTAAAACGAGCTCTTTGATACTGCTTTCTTTGAAACTTTTAATAAGGGGAATGAAATCGATGAATGCATCATCGGAAATGCTAGTAAAACGCTGGTTCAGAACTGGCAAGGGAATAAAAGGAGAGAATGAGAGAAACGGAGGCGGAGTCGATGCAAAGCAGAAAGAGAGAGAGAGAGAGAGAGAAGCGGGAGGGGCGAGTGAACGAACGAGATGGGCGTGCACGTGGTCTCGCATCTGCTTCTCCACCGAGTGACCTCGCGGCTGACCCCTTCCAAGTACCAATAATTAACTCGGTTCGTGCGCCAAATGCACACGAGCGCGTACGGGACCGAATGTTTGCGTCATAGCCGCGGTGAGGCCAGTGTTCCCATGAAAGAAAGGCGTCTGCACATACTTGTGCAGTTATGCGCGACAAAGGGCCGTGAAACCGGCGGACAAAAGGTGCTCGATGGCCCCCTGGAACACGCTGTTTCAACCTGGATATCGATCAAGATTGCGCCTATCGACAATGTACCTACGTACGGAACAATTAATCCTTTCGCTGTTAGTTTCGTACGGAGGAATGATACGGGGCCACGTTAAATAATTAAGCTGTACGTACTAATAAAGGATAAATGAATAAAAATTCGTGTCACTGATATTTCCAAACCCGACCTAATAACGCCTTGCCCTAAATACTTTGCGCTGGTCACACACGAGTGAAACTGCTAATCTGCCACTTGATCCTTTCGCGTGTTTCTCGAAGCACTTGCAGAAAAGGAGCGGCACCTCTGCGCACTTTTTTCTCCGTACACATTTTATTTCTCGCTCCTTCTCTCTGGCTACGTATTCGCGGCACGATAGTCGAGGGTCGTGCGCGTAACGAGAATTTTTTAACGCGGCCACCGCGCCGCGAGTATAATTAATTCCCGGCCATGAACGGTTCGTGACCGTAGCTTGACCACAGCTTCAGCTTTCGTTTCGCCGTGGATTTATTATCCCTGAGATAGCCGATGGTTGGAAAAAACAAAATCGAACCGGCTTTGAGTTATCGTTCGCAGTTTCGATCGCTCGTTATTTTCTTTGCGTACCCTCGCTTATTGTTTGAAAAAATTCGCGCGTGGCTATTACGTGGCTCGTAACGTCGTCATTTCACGATATTTTTTTTATAGTAACGGTATCTATAGGCGCGCAGCGTTGTACAAGTAGAAACGACTCACCAATCTTGTTGCTATTGGTCCCAAAAGAATGGAGCTTCTTCCAGCCCTTCCAACCCTTTTTCCAGATCATTGCCGCCTTGGTTTTACGCTGCCCGCCCGCTAATTCCGGGGTGCTGGTCTTACCCATCCCCCTCCTCAACGATCCCAGTCCAGACCTGAACAAACACCAATCGACGGCCTTAGGTCCCTTCCTGCTTCCGGAACTTGTTTCTTCGGGGTCATCGAACTTAGAAATTGCTTAGAATTGTAGTAGGCAAAGAAGCTTGTGGAATATTATTTTTATTTTCGCAGTCCCCGAAAAAAGGAACTGCGTTTCCACCCACGTAACAATTCCTATGCATTGGTTCATGAAACGCGACCTTTACACTCTTGAATATTTCATAAACCATTAAACGCCCACTGAAATATCTGCACTCTGCTCACGGCTGAGTATCAAATTTCAATGACTAATTTTCAAAGGACAGACCCGAAATTCCACAAACTTTCCCAGCGCACGGTGTACACTCAAATACATCTCTATCAACCTGTAACTTGCACTGGAGCTTCCACTGAAGCCGCTGTCCATGTCACAGCCAACAGGCGAAAGGAGGTCGTCGGTAGGACTGACCGAGGATAACAGCTCCTCTGTGGATACCCCGCGCTGATCCTGCTGCTCGTCCTCGTCGTTATTATCGACCACGGTGGGCATCAGCATCGCCTCTACGCTAAGGTTCAATTCCCCGAGCACCCGGCGATGCCGTGACTGCACTCGTCGCACCTCCTCCGCCACCAGGGATCTCCTCGAACCGTGCAACGCCCGGTGACATTGTCTGCTAATGAATCCCGGTCCCCCCATTACTATTTATATACGATTCCATTAGTATCGCATTTGCATCGTTCGATCTTATAAGCGACCGTTTGTATAGACGGCAATCAGAAGCGAATGATGGTAGCCAAGTTTCAAGCGTTTGGGGGATGCGTCGGATCGGTTTACAGGAAATGGCAATAGCGTTTAATCGAGGAGCGTTCTATCGGAAACGGCGAACCCATTAGAAGTACTATTTGCAAGACACCCGACGATTTACTCAAGGTTCGAATCCACCTTGAATAGCTGACCATTTATCTTGTCCGAACGCATGACTTATGTATGTATGTGCTCGCGCGGTGGACACGGTTGCAACAATCTCTAGTCGCTCGGCTTGTTTTCTTATTGTTCGCGACTTAATCGTTAAGGTCTCATGGCATCCGGTGCCTGGTATACGTCGAATCGGGGGCCAAGTGGCCGAGAGGAGGGAGGGGGACCGCGAGGAGACTCGTTGTCCACTTGAACCGCGCCAGTTGAAGTTCACTTCGCGTCTGGGCGAATGAACGTGCGTATTCATCAATCCTATTTTTATTCATCAACCCGTTTAGATTGAATGAAACATAATTCCACCGACTATCGTCAACGGCGTTCCCTATCGACCGTAAGAAGCCCGAGTGCACTCTCTCTTCCCTTGAAAGCCGACACCGTCTTCCTGCCGCGGAATAATACCTACCCATCGGACGTGGGTAGATTTTCACGAGAAAATCGATTGACCATTTCCGACTCGTCGCCGTCGAGAGAGACAGGATAGGATTGTGACAGGAGTTTGTAGGGAATTTTATTGATTCGATCGATTTCTTACTTGATCTCCGAGATCTCCTCGTAGATATTTTCCTCGGTGCCGTATCGCGTCATGTACGTGTGCCTCTTGAACGAGTGTTGCTGTTGTTGCTGCGGCACACGATTTAGGCCCACTTCCGCCGGATACGTACCGTGCAACCGGCTCGGGCCAGGTTCGTAGTAAGCGTACGAATAATCTTGAAGGCCGTGTTGGTGAGCAGAGCTCGTCATGCCGGGCGCCTCCGGTCCAGGATCCACCAAACCCGTGCAAGCAATCTGCAAAAAGTAGATAAATACGATTTTTAGAGATCGGTAGTCGCGTGACCGTTTCAATCATTCGTCTTATATCGATTTCGCAAGTTCACTCTTGGAATATGCCAATTGGCCGTGATTCAGCATCGTACCTGAGCATGAGGTGGCGGATAAGGCGGAGGTGGTGGAAACTCCAGGTTGACTCTTCGCGGTGTCGAGACACCAGACGCCATTCCTGGTCCCCCTAAAGACGAAGCCATGATGCATCGTTCTGATTAACGGCTAATTAATGCGCTCTTCTCTTTTTCATCGTTCTTCCGGTTCTGGAACAAACCGTACATCGTCCACCGTTAGCAATTTCCATTTGATTTCTCGGAAAGAGACAAATTCCGATGAATTACTAAATTCGATGCAAGAATTCGCTACGGGAACCAAGAATAACTGAACCACGTAATTGCTCTAAATTGGGACCGAACTCTTGCCGGCGCTGTTCCGTTTCAACCACCGGGTAGCCCTAATTTCGTACGTAGCCGTGCATTCCTCTCAATCACGGTACGTAGCACAATTTACCGTGAGAACGTCTTAAATCTTGAATATACAATCGTATCGTCAGCGATCTCTCATAAATATAGACTGCGCCGCGCGTTGTACGCGTGTAAGTACATAAGAGGCACGTCGCTTTGCATATTTGCTTTCATCGCGGATCGTCTTTTTTACGAGCTTCCACGCGAATGACCGTTCGCGTGTGCGTGTTTTACGAAAGGGAACGCGACAGAGCGTAATTGCAGGAAAAAGGCTGCCGTCGTGATCGACACGACGCGACGCTCCAAGAAATCAACGACGCGTGCAGTCGGGTGTGTCGTTCCCTTGATCTTCGCAAATGATCTACGCGATTCCCAACGAGAAACGTATTATTAGCCCTCGCCGCCTGAATAACTCGTCCTCCTATGAGATTTACATATTTTTTCTCCGTCAAAGATAATTAAATCCACGTCTCTCCGAGTAAACTCTCAGTGTTTCACTGCTCCGTCATTTGAACTCATTGTTTTCCCAAGATGACTTTGGAAGAGATGAAAGTCGTAAGGATTCTTCTTCCTCTAAGGTAAAAGAAATTTTACCCTGCGACTTAGCTTTCATAACATTTCCAAGGACAAGCAGAGTTACAGTCGTCGTTCTCTTTGCGAAACACTTGAAAAACTTCGGAAAGCTCTTAAGCGATAATTTTCCACGTGCCGTCAAGGGAGATACATCGAGATAAGCGTGTGTATACGAGGATGTCCCGTGGCGAGGCGGAAAGCAAAAGAATCTACAGGTGCGAGACGGCTCGCCGCGGGAACGTGACGATTGAGATTCAAAACGCAGCATATAATTCGCTAACGTCGTACATGCTCGACGTCGTGTAATAATGTTCGCCGGGTGTGAGATCCGGCTAACAAGATAAACGCGTTGTTATTCGCGTGCAGGTTGCCCTACCATTAACCGGATTATAAAGAGCGGTACAATAACGCGTTACTAATTATTAAACCGCGTCCAAGTATTTGCTTTGTAACCATTTTTACGCGTGCCGTCGCTGCAAACGTCGATGCCTAATCGAGTAGAATTACCTTAAGAAAGCGTGGCAAGACGGTTTCTGCATAAATAAACTTGAATTTCAAGTTGTATAGAAGACGTAGGAGAGCGTAGACGCGAAAACGAATAAAACAGCTCGTACGCGAGTCTCACATGATAAACGACCGGTGTCTATCTTCACCTGCCCACGTAACGTTAATGCAGTCAATTACTCGGCAAAGTGATTCGACCAGAGTCATAATTCTTTTTCGATCGAAATTACCGGCATCGAAGCAGCGATTACGAGCGTGCATGAAATAAGGAAACGCGATATTACACTGATAGCGTGCACCGAGTTCTCGCAACAATTTCTTACAATACATCAGACTCCTTAACAGATTCGCGTGCTCATTGCGTTTGTCGACCGGCAACATTCTTCAACATCAGAGCATACTAACTTTGGCGGGAAGAGATAATGCGCAAACGTTTTCCCTGACGAAACGATGGCACGCGTAAAAATGTTAATTTCGTGAAGGAGTATGCCGCATCCGGCTCGCGTTGCCCAACTCAATAAACCATTTGCCTTAATTATACGGTACATACCCAACTACGCAGATTTTCGAGAGCTCAAAACTGAACTGGCGAACAGGCCAGGGTAAACTGTCGTATCGTACGGACTCGCGAGATTTAACGATCGAATTCAACTTGGTAAATATTTGGAGAAACGTCTACAAAATTTGTATTCATCAATAGTTTCATTCAATATATCCTGATACGCGATCTATCTACCATTGATTTCCGATTATCTATTCAGACATCCAAAAATCTCTGAGCCATTGCATCATTTTCTCGGTGTTTAAGAATTATCAAGGATGTTCGATGTTCTCTAACGATAGAAACGGTTAAATTTTTTATCCTAATACAAGTACGCGTATCGTTAACAATAATAAGCAAAGATCTTCAGTTCGACGGAATTCCGTTTGTAAAGTCCCTTATCAATATCACCATGACCGTTCGCAAGGGCAAGAGCCAAGTACGCCATCGAGCGCGATCAAAAACACACGGTTCCACGTACGTAAGTACTGAAATATTATTTCCGGTATGTCCCGCGCGTGTGCCGACCGTGAACATACGCATATTTTCGGCGGTCGCCGGTAAGTATTTTTGGAACTCGTCCAACGACCGACGGCGACTGCCGAAAGGGCCACCCGATCATGTCGATTCCCTCAGTTTTCGACTGTGTACATATACCGAAAATACTTGGCGAGTTCCAAAGCTCGAAAACACGTTTTTCAAATCCCTTTGGAAGGCTTCTTACGCGTCACGCCTGAATTCTATTCCGTTTCATCCTGAATTAAACCTGAGTAGGGTGCCTCTCGAGCCCGTGTCCAATCGGGTAAAGCCCATACACCTTCGGACACGTGTCGGAACTCGATTATTCGGCTAATTAGATACTCGGATTATCCGGAGGAGAATGAGAGAGGAGAAAAAGTGGTAATGCGGGGTGGTTCATTTCTCTAGCCTGTCAATATTACCGAGACCGATAACTACGCGCTCGTTCCATTGCCTGTAACGTTTCTCACGATCTATCACACGGAGTAATGGTATTTCGAAATGGGAACGCGATACCTATAGGCTCGAAGATTATGAATCTAGCTATGTATCCAAGTACGTATCCCGCCGCACAAAGAGAAAGAAAAGTCTTGCTGTACGTGAGGAGAGAAATCCTAGCAAGTTCGTACGAAAAGGACTTTGTAGACGGATAATTTGACAGTTTAACGTTGATAGGATTAACACGAAAACATGCAGGACGCGTTTTACGAGTCTCATTATTCTCAAATCAGTTGGCTTTTATAAAGTCAATTGAAACGTTCGAGTGTGCTCAAGACCCGACGATATCGTATTAAAAAAGGAAGACGGGGTTCACGCGAGATAAAAGAACAAGTACGTATGTAGTAACGACGTAGGTATGTAGGCTTTGCGCTTACCTCGCGGAGAAGCGGTGCGATCCCTCAAAGGACGATCCTGGTCTCGTTAAATCATCGGCTGTTGCGAATCCATCCGAAATAGGGGAAAATATGTGGAGGCGATCGTTTCACGCACGCGGATCGAGCCCACACACAGCCAGAAAACACGGGGAACCATTCGTTCGCGCCTCGTGCTTAGATAGTTTTGCGTTCGCTCATTGTTGAATGTGGCCAAGCACGCCCCCTTCGGAGACCGGTCGACCGAGGAATGGAGCAGGGAAAGGAGCAACGAGGAGAGACGAGCCGAGAGAGAGGATCGCGAAACGAAGATAGGGACACGGGTTGCTCGCAGGGAATGCGAGGAGATGAAAAGAGCGAGACGACACTATGTAGCCCGCGTCCGATTTCTTCGATCACCACAACTCGAAACACTTATTCGATTCACTTATTTACGCGTGTTCCCGATCCATCGAGAGGCAATGACCACCGGTGTGACAACCAGTCGACGATTACGAGAATCCCGCGAGTCGCCTGTACGATTCCTCTTCGACGGGCCGAGGATCGACGAACGATACCGATTTCGCACGAAAATCATTCACCCCGGTCATAAACACTTAACCAAAACACACTGGACTCTGGTCGCCGGGACGATTCGTGCGTTTCCTTGACTACTGTGATCCACTATCGATCGACGATTCTCACGCGCGGTTTAAAAATACAAACACTTCGTCGAACGTCATGCGCCTTGATCAATTCTCCCGTGGTTCGTACATCCTGTAGGAAAGCACGAGAATAAGCACTCGATGCGTGTGTCGTTAACGAATCTTTCTTTCGAGTTCGACACACAAAGCGTTCCTCCTTGGCCGCGACCCGGCCTCTACTGAGAAACAAGTACGCCAGGGGGCAGTCGAGAGCAAGCGGTTTCTCGAAGCCGGGAGCCTGAAAACAGTGAAAACCGTCTTCAGAAATCCTCGTCCGTCCATCCGTCCATTCGCTTACGGTTTCGTCGATGTAATAGTAATAACGCGAACGAACGAGCAAGTCCAAGTACGAGAAATCCACCCGCTCGCCTCGCTACTCAGACTCAGACCCGGACCGTCGTTCCATTGTTTCGTTGTCTCCTGGCTCTCGGGAGTCGGGTCGGGAGCGTGGCGCACACAGACAGGGAAAACGTAGCTGCGGTAGCGCACGTGCACGCCCGTTCAACACCACGCTAAACTCCGCGACACATATGTACCAGCAGGTTGGGGAGCACGCACACGACCGCGCGTTCCTCTTCTCTTCTCCTCTTCGCTTCGCTTGTAAACCGACTGACCGACCAGTCACGCACGATCTCTCGTTCCTGTATGAATGTCGTGGTCCGGTTACCACCAGACCCGAACCCATCGCAAACACAAGCGCTCGATTTATGATTGCGCGTATATGTATATACTCCTTGAGTACGGTTGGCCATCGGTCGAATTTTACGCTTTTTATTTCAGGCTTTACTTCGAAGATTTTTTATGTAGAGGCGAAAATTTGATTTCTTTCGACTTTGCGGTCGTTTCGATCAATTTCACGTTTATGGAAAGGCATTTACTCGTTTACTGCTGAGAGAGCTAGTTAAACGCCGGGATCTCACGAGGGGAGAACACAAAAGGAAGATGAAAAGAGTACTGAGTCGCTTGAGAAAGAACGAAAAGGGAACTTGATGGGTGGAGGAACAGGAAGGGGAAGATGTCGAGCAACCGAACTTGACCCTTGTCGGATTTGCATGTTTGTTGATTTGTCTAATCGGCATAAAACTTCGGGTTTTAAAATCCCTTTCTCGATACGGTAATGTACGCGTAGTTCCTTTGTATTCCAGCGAAAGGAATTCCGTGCCAGCATTCCGTTATGAGGCTCGAATGCGCACGAAGGAATTTGTTCTTACTATGTAAAACCCTAGACTAAATCGATTCTTTTTACGTATAAACGCAGAATTATTTACTGTAGAATTGTAATTAAAAATATTTCAACTAAAAATTTCTTTCTTCACTTGGTTTCCTAGCTTGTTTCCATGCCTGACACCCTCAGTTTCCTTTTTTACCTTATTGTTATTATTTTTATATACGAAACGATTACTGTAATGCACTTTTGGTTTTTACGGTTTTCATAGTCACACGCTTGGAAGCTTGGAAACACGTGCGAGGCAGAGGCCTTGATGAACGCGCCTGCTAGGTGGACATGAAAAGAGTTGATAAACGTAACCCGAGGCGGATCTGATAGCGACTCATCGTATTTAGAAAGCTAATAGCAGGTCCACCGCGGGAACAAAAAGCATTTAGACACGCATTCATTTTTTCCATTAGCACGTTTTATCACTCGGCGGAGCCTGAGTCAGCCCTTTAACTTGCCCCACTTTTTACACTAAAACTATTGCAACATTAATTTCAAGAAATCCCGCACGATTCGTCTTGGGACCAACACGCATAGTTGATTGAATAATAGATAATTCCAATCGCTTTATATTTATTCAAGGATACCCTCTTATCTTTTTTCATTTGTCGACGAGATACTAAATAAAACATTTCAATAAGGCTGTGAATAAATATTTGCAATTGTAACAGGTTTTGTATAAATAGAACATGGACAGTGCTCTGTCAGTTTATCAAATAGCAAAGTGTACCGTAACAATGACTTTTTAGATTAGTATGATAACTGTACAAGCGAGAGTATATAAGCATCAAACAGGTGGAAGCACTATCATTACGTACATATGAATGAATCTTTCTCGTTCCGTTGTCTATTTAAGAATAAAGCACCTTATCTTTAATCCCACTTTCCCTCTGTACTTTTACTTCATAATGCATTTAAGAATATTAATAGGTTAATCTGTAAGTATGATTTGCAATATTCTTATTTACATAAACTGCGACTACAAGGGTTATCAAAATTAAACACCGTATCATGTTATTTCCACATCCTAATAAAGGTGTTTCTTCGTATATCAAACTGATTCAATAGCAAGTATCTCATGGATTCCATCATGTTTTTACCTCTTTCCCTTGGCAAGTTATTTTACAACTATTAACTAATGTTTTTAATATTACTATAAAAATACTATGCTTATCTTATTAGATATGAGCATCTTAGATGCGCGTCGTAGGCAATGGAAATTTCTTACAATCGTCATTACTTATCACGACGGCGAGACGCGACGTATTATAAAACCAACAGATTATTCAACAGACTTCAGTATGCCGTACAGTACCAGCCCAAACAGAGTAATATAGTCGGCAGTTGATATCAAAGTGAAACCGAAAATAAAATCGAATCACGGATAAAGAAAGAGGATGCTACAGAATTATCAAATAACGTAGAGCGATTTATTCTTCATTACTCGTCTTTAAAATGGAAATGTATCGCGAATGGGACCAATTGGCTGTGTACAAGCAGCCACCGGAGGTACTGAGATCTAAACTCCAAATACCGGTAAAAACTTTAATGAGTCCTGGACCGACGAATTGTTCCGAGCGAGTTCTTCGGTCCTTGCAGAATCAAGTTATCAATCATCTGCATCCAGAATTTTGTCAGGTATTCGGTTTTACGTTTTCGTTGTTGGGAAGCATTAGAACGTGGAAACCGGCAGGTTTTTTTAAAAGCAATCGTCGACTTATAGTTAATGGACGAAATCAAAGCTGGACTTCAATATGTGTTTCAAACTAAGAACAGACTTACTTTGGCGATAAGCGCGTCGGGTCATGGTGGCATGGAGGCTTGTTTAGTAAATCTACTGGAACCCGGTGACACTATACTGATCGTCAAATGTGGACTTTGGGGTGAACGAGCGGCTGACATGGCCAACCGACTCGGTGCGAACGTAGGTCCATTTTCGTTCAAGTTGAAGTTCGATGCGAATTGTCTACGAATCTTTTCAAAACGTAGGTGAGACTGCTTGAAACAGAACATAACGTGGGCATCACTTTAGAACAACTGAAAACTGCCTTGGAGAAGCATAGGCCAGATGTAGTTTTCATGGTTCACGCGGAAACTTCCACTGGAGTTAAACAACCATTGGAAGGTTACGGTACATTAGTTCGCAGGTATAATTAAAAGGTTCGATGGGATAAGAATTCCGAGTTGACGGATAATAATAAATTCTTGCAGATATAATGCTCTTCTTATCGTTGACACGGTTGCTTCGCTTGGCGGCGAGCCGTTCTTTATGGATTCTTGGGACGTAGACGTGGCTTACGCGGCGAGTCAAAAGGGTCTTGGTGCCTGTCCAGGTCTCGCTCCTGTCTCGTTCAACTCACGGGCAGAGTACGTAAACGCATCGCGGTTTTCTTGTCCTGACCGCAAGCCTTGCGCCTGAGAATCGGGACTCTCGCGGTGCTCCACTCGGAATATCAATCAAATGCGTAAGGTCATCTATGACTCGCCGGCCCATTCGGTCGCTACGTGATTCATAACCGTGGACGGCCGAGGAATTTTTATTCGATGACACTCTCTTATGGCTTTCAAATTGACTCGCCGGCATTGTTCGTCACGGAGTACCCGTCTATTAAGAGAAGACCTACTTTTACCCACTTACACCATATTATCTACGAAACTTTTTTCCTCTATCGATTCCATATTATTACTATTAATTTCTGGTCATTACGATCTTTCCTTTGTGGACATGTCTTTTTATTTTGCAACAGGCAGAAACTGTTTCGCCGAAAGACGAAGCCTATCTCCTTTTACTGGGATTTAAATATTCTCGGCGTGTATTGGAAATGTTTCGGTAACAATGACCGCGTTTACCATCATACTATGAGCGCAACGCTCATTTACGGTCTTCGCGAGGCGCTGGCGGAATTGGCAGAAAAAGGACTTCAAGAATGCTGGGCCAGAAATGCAGTCTCAGCTGCCAGATTAAGGAAGGGTCTTGAATTACGGGGCCTTCGGCTCTACGTGAAACTTCCACAGTATCAACTGTCGACGGTGGTCTCCGTAGAGGTGCCGCCTGGCATCGATGATAAGATCATTTCGCAACGAGCCATGGACAAGTGAGTAAATGCAATTCATAATTGTAATTATTGCGCTACAATCGCTTTTCTATAGGTACCAGGTCGAAATTGCTCGAGGCTTAGGACCTACAATGGGTAAGATTTTTCGAGTTGGATTGCTAGGAATCAATGCTACTCCGGAGAAGGTTGATTTGTTTCTACATGCTTTCGACGAGGGTTTAAAGCATGCAACAATTTCAAGGCTGTAATGAATAAGCCAGAAACATGCTTTAAATCAAACGTTCGTCAAGCTGTTGTACAAATGTTGCAGTTAAGAAAACAAGAATTGTATGAAATTTGTAATCGCATCGCGTTTATCAATAAATTACCGAGCTGTTTGGAGTGATTATATTTAATACAATTGTCAGTATCCTACATCTTACAGATAAACATATTACATATTCTTGTAATTCCTATGACCTCCACCGATGTTTTACTGGTTGCGATGCAACGGGTGTTTTATTAAGAAACAAATATGAAATCGACAATGTCGGGTGCTTCAAAAGTCAACACACCGGACACGCAAACGAGACTCGATCAAGCGTATTTGTTTATTAATGGAAATACTGAAATTGGCATACAATTACTTCTAATGTAGTCAGTTTGCTTATATTCAGTTGGACGTTTTATTGCATCGATTAGCAATGTCAACAATTAATTACACGCTCCTCATTCTCCCAGTCTTTCACTTTCGTTTCCTTTATCCATGATTCGTTACTGAACAAATTACGCGCACGATTCGATTTACGATCACGTTGGCACAACACAGAATCTCAGCCAAATCTACGAACATCAATTAACATGTACTTGAAATCAACAATTTCAATCGATCGTGCGATTTCCAAATACTTGTTGTTAGTCTACGATATTTTACACTCAAGCACAATTTTTCTACCAACTCCCTGCTGCTCTTGACAATTTTCTTAAGGCACTATAGAAATCGAGGTTTTCACGTGGTAAATCGTTTATAAATCGACGTCGTTGCAAAGCTTTAAAAAATTGTAACGACAAAGGCACAATCAGTCGACCGATTATTGCGATATTTCTTCGCGCCAGTTTTGGCACTATCGAACAGCGTATATACTTTTCCAAAGAAATCGGCAACGACAATTCGATCGATTAGTAAAATAAGAAAAAGAAGAGTAAGGCAAGCTTAATGCATTCTCAGGACGATACATTGCTGTCTGTTGGCATTAAAAACGTTTTCCTTCTTCCTACTTAAATAGACACGTAAACAAAGAACGGGGGATGACTTTAAATAACCGTCAAGATAATATTTGTATGTATAATAACAATATTATAATAATAATAGTAATAATAAAATAAAATAATTATTAATATTGATAAGCATCGACGAACCGTCTACGAGTTCGACGATACGACAAGAGGTTATACAATTACTTGTATATAAATACTATTAATAATAACTGATAACTCGTTAATGATAGTCGTGATTCTCGTTATGTATTACAAGCGCCTAGATATGTACAAAAAAATATCAACGTCGTTCGATTAAGGCCTCTACCAAATATTTGTTCGACTATCGTTAGAGAATCTGTAATCTCACGATTATCAAGGCACGATGTCGAACGATATTCGACGAATGATCAAAGAATGCACATTTACCTTCGAGTTTCATCGAGGTGGGAAAAAACAGGCACTCGTTAGCTTCGTTCATCGCACACTGTTCGTTCCTCTCACCTGCTCACTATGTAAAACACACGAGTTTGACATACACATACATATACACACGCACGCACAGTTTGTAGCCTCGTTCTTTCGGCAATGCACGCACGCTACCGAAAAGAGTTCCGAAGGTATCAAAAAGTGTCGAAACCAAGTAGGCCTGCCAGCTGTCGTGTAAAAAGCTGCTACCCCCTGTTTTCTTCTCATCTTTCATCGGCGATCGGATCGCATCGCATGATTTCTGCAAGCTCTTGTCCAAACGGACGTTTAGACTAGATCGTAAAGGAATGCACTGAACGACGAATCAGTGACTAGGTAGTGTCCGAACTCGTCCGAGTTCAACCGCACTGCGTTTCTTTTTTTTTATAGTTTTCCTTCGTCGCTCGTATTCGCGGACGATGATGTAGAGAAGAAGAGACTGGGTCTTTGTAAACTGTCAGGCTACTCTGTTTCATTCTCTGATCGAAACTTTTATCTTTTATTCTACTGACATACGCATAAAAAACTGATGCATTCCTCCACACTCATCCTAACACGGTAACGTGGTGCAATAAAGGCGATCCCGACTCCCGGCCCTAACCCGAATCAATGTACAGATTGGATACACTTGCAGAAATTCGACCTTTTGCGAAAGTACAATTGCAAAATTTGATTACGATCAGAGATCGCCATTGAATAACTTAAAACAACCTAAGAATAAATAGGCTTAAAAGTTAAAAAAAGAAGAAGCCGAATCACGATGAGATTACAGGTCGATATTAACAATAACAATCGGGATTAATGGATATACATGTCGACATAGCGATAAACAGTAGCTGTAGTAATTATACTATTGAAAATTGTAATAGAAATATCATGAAGTATTATATATAAGTAATAATGAAGCTTACGATGAGAATGAACACGATAAATGAGAATGAACGATGACGAAAAGTAAAGTGATGATCGATAAAGTGAATATCGATGAGAAGAATGACGGTGAGGGTGATTCTAAGCAACGTCAAGTTGAATTTAATACAGTGTTTGTAACGTTCGGCACGTTCTCGCGCTCTAATGACAACTGATGCCACCATCGGAGGTTCTTCAGTCTTCTTTGGTTGCTGGGTAACTCGGTGAGGTTGGTGGCTATAGTAGGGCTCTGCATTCACACCACCACGACTCTAAATTTTCCCCAGGTTCGTACCTTTCGCCCTGTGCCTTCTCGCCCGTTTTTTCACCTCGTCTCTTGTTTCGCCATCTCTGCGAGCACAGCCATCGTACTGTGTTTCGAACAACCGGAGCATTTGAACGGTAGGTCGAAATTTGGTGTCTCCAAAGTGTTTGAAGTAAACTTTGATCAAACAGTACTTTCAGTTTCTCATTCGGTCGCGCGCGTATGTACAAATATGCATGCGTGCATATGCGTGCATGCGAGAGGTCACTCGATGATAGAGAGCGGTTGGCTTCCGGTCCGTTGATCCGTTAACGAGAGCCAATTGATTAATAAACGTCTGGTTGTGGGTGCCCCGAGGGACTCTGCAGCGAATAACCGTGCAAGCGACGGGAATAATAAGAATATCGTCTGACGAGAACGATCCATGTTCCTTCTTCGTTTATCGTTACGCTCTCTTATTATTACAGCTTCCTGCGACGAATCTCTTCGTTTCATTGATTACCATCTTCCGCCGATCTTTTCTCAACTAACACAATTGTATATTTGTAATAGACATCTAGAGACTCCAACCCTTATCCGATGCTCTCCCCGTCACTTGCCTCACGTCTTCCTTTTCGAATCGCCTCGAGGAAAATCCAGCGAGAATAATAACAACACGGCTGAATTCGCTGACTGCAGAGAGAAACGAGGCCCGGTTTCCTTGGACTAGGGCGATACTGTTCGAAGGAGGCTTCGCAGCGACAACTGGGGGGTTACTCAGCTTAGCTCGCGCGGCGTCACGGAATGCCGAGCTGGATGATGGTTGTTACGATGATGACGCCTGGCCCGGCGACACTGTACCGTGCAGCAGTCGTCCCCGTCGCCCACGTACTCGCCGCGTCTCATCTGGTTGCACAGTGCCCGTGTACACCGCTTTCTATCGCATCTCACCTCGCCGTTCTGTGAACAAAAAAGATCACCACGATTCATATACAAGAGAATACAGAATCGTCATGCGAAACTACTTGTCCGTTCGTTTGATTATTTAACAAATAGCAATTGATTTTTCCGAGAGAAGCTCGCGAAATACTTTTTCTCGTTGGTTCGACCGCGTTCCATTTTCATCGTAATGGATGGACCCTTTTAATGGTCGGCCCAGTCGAACCGAGACCAGTTAAAGGTTTTCTCCTTAAATGTTTCTGGTCGTGGCCGTGTCTGGATATCGCAACGAGGCTACCGAGCCTTCTAACGAGTGGAATACGCGCGCGTACCGAATTCAAGTCAAGTTTTTTCAGCGACCTTCGCATAATGAACCGCGACTTTTATATCCGTCGCTCCAAATACTATTTTCTAGAATCTGTTCAAAATTCGTCGATAACATTCCGCCACTGTTGTGCAAGTTATTTTAAGATTATCCTACCCGTCTAGTAAGGATAAGGTAGTAGATAGGTACAGATGGTCGGGGATAGTGTCGGGAAGTAACTCGAGGCACGAGCGGAATGCGGCTGATGAGGGGTTAAGAGCGATCGTGTAAACCGGAAATTGTCGCACTTGTCGAATAAAGTACCGTGACGATCTCGCGTTACTAGTTCCCCGAGAGTCAAAAAAAAGGGAATAATTTATTGTTGCCATACGAATATTTTACTGCGCCCGTGCTGGATTATTATTTCACGCGTACACGTATCGATTTAATCGCTCGACGACCGTAAACCGAAACGACCGACTTCCTCTCCGGGACGACGAGCTAAGATTTTCCGAAATTCGTATAGAAATCGTACGAAGCGATACCGATCGGTGGCCGCAAAAGCGTTTCCAGGCGCGACGGTGCGACGCGACGCGATCTCATCTCCGTCGCAGTTATCGCGCGCGGAACAAAGAAAAAACGTCGGTGGACCGACCACGAAGAATCTCCGATCGGCTTTAGCGGCGTTCCCCTTGCCAGCCGACAGCCGATGGCCTCGAGGCGCTTCCTTGGACGCGTGATTCGAATTTTAAACTCTCGAATTACACATTTACAGTCTCCGAAATGCTTCGAGATTTTAGATAAACTCGACCGAAGGGATTTCTCACATTCCTTCGGACAGAAATTTTCGTTTCGACTATAAAAGAAATCTGATACGTAGCAGAGCAGTCTCGATTTATTCTAATAATTAATTAATTAATTTACATAGAAATCAATCACCGTATGACGCCTACGAGATACGAGTCGTTGATTTCTAATAGCTGCATACAATTAGTTACGCCAAGACACTTTACAAAAATCGGGAGAACACGAAAACGATCGATCAAATAATAATTAACTATTTCATTATGATTTATTTATACATCGGACCAGTTTCTCATTTAAATTGCAAGTTACAAAAGGAGATTCTCACCTTGCACCTGCATTTGACGCATTTCATCTCTCCGTGGGAGTGAACCCGCGGATGCCATTCCATCCCGTTTTCGTAAGGACCACCGAAGGGATACTTGCACCCGCCGGCAGCTAGTATCTCCTCTGCTGTACGCCTGGTGCCTTCTGGCGCCGCCTGGTCCCGCGGTAGACGCGTCGCGTCGGCCGCGTTCAAGGTGCTCGGCGTCGTCGCCGGGCACTGCCTGCAGCATGCCTTCTTGCTGGGTCTGAACGCGGTCTTCTCGTCGCAGTCCAACGGCGGGCACTGCACCCGCGGACACTTTACCTCCAACGTCATGGCCTGTAAGATAAATGGGATGCATCCTCGGTCGACGCGTTCGCGCTAAGGCCGCTCCTTTTTTCCCCGTCCGGCTTTATTAATCTCTTTAACGTTTCCGAATGATGAATCGACAGGAAGCGTAGGAATAAAGATACACGCGTACAAAGTTCTCAAACGAGCCAATGGAAATTTGCCGGGAATAATTGAGCAATCGGTATCTCGTTTAAATCGGGACACTCGGTACGCGTCGATTCCTTGTTCGTTTCGTTGTGGTTCGGCGTAATACGCACGGAGCCGGTTCGATCGAGCGCGATTCGAGTGACAAGCCGCGGATCAAAACGCGCGTCTTATCTCCGAGTAACGAACATGACTCGGTCGATGCAACGTGTCCGAGGGCATGACTTCGAGCAATTCGCTAATATCTATTTATGTAGAAAGGTCTGTCGCCGATCGCCGCTTGCTCTTTCTTTCCATGACTCGACGCAACGCCGGAGAGCAGTAACTGCATTCTCCGTGCCCTGATGGAATTTTTCGTTCGCGCCTTTTATGACCCCGTCGTTATAATATGTCTCGCAGGATCGGCGCCGATGCTGAGATGGTTACGAAACGCGGCGAGTGAACGTACAGATAAACAAAGAATAAATATGCTAAGCGATCGAGACGATAAATTCCAAACGCGTTTATAAAAATTTATCTACGCCGTTTGTACATACGCGTAACGATTTTTTATTAGCGACTGTGAATCGACTTGCTAAAGAATAAGGCAGTGACATTTGCAAACTTACGTCACACGTGCAGACGGCGCAGGTATCGAATCCCACCGGTGGCAGATAGGGGTGCCACGATGCTCCCGGTAGATGAAACTGGCCAGCGAGGGTGCAGCCCCGCGTGACAGAGCTCACGTTCTTCCCTGTCGCGTTCATATTGATCCCTGGACCTGATCCAACCAATTCCAAGGAAATTCCATAAGCAACAGTACTTTGATCTTATAGTATTACAAAATGAAATTTCATAATTTTCTCTGCGCCTTATGAATTTCTAATATCAGCAAATTATGAAATTTATCGCTATCCTTGGTTTCCGATACGTAAACGATTGGAAACCAGCTCGGTTGACAACCGAGACTTCAGCGTATGATCGATCGTCAAACGTTTCCCGGTAAATGAGAAAAATCGGACAACGACAGCTCGAATCGAATCAGCTGCGAAACAGCTTGATCGATAAGTAGTCGCGTGTAATTTAGACGGAATAGGCGTAACTAATTATATGCGATTACTTTCATGCGTCGCGCGAGTAAAGTCTAATATGATTCCTCGTGTCGCGATCCGTTGGACATTATCGAGATTAAACTTGTCATGCGAATATGTGACGATTATAGGCGTTTTTAAATGTTTTAATGAGAATCGTGCGGGTCACTTACTCGAGCAGATAGGGCAACAGTGACCTGGCGCAGGCTTGAGCTGTTTGCCCTGTGGACAGGTGAGAGCTGGGCAGGGTACTGGGTCGCATTGGGCCAGTCCGCGATAGCAATGGCACATGGAACAAGGATCCGTGCTGGAGGTCCACTGGGTCCCTTCGTCGTAGAATCTGGTCTCGTGGAAGCAGGCACCGGTCTCGATATCCGATATAGGCGGTTGCAGATTGACGTCATTGTCCGCGTAGTGAGGAAGACAGCTGAGCGGCGCTCTGGCCTTGAACGGAGCCTTGAGAATCTTCTCGGTCTGCTTGTCGGTCACTTCCAGGAAGCCGATACCGGACTCGATCCTATACAACTCCACTGGTGTGAGCCCGGTCACAGAACCCTCCAACACGTAGCCGGTAAACTCTTCGAGTAATCTTCTGGCAACGGGCGCTCCTTGAGCCAACAATGGCATGGTCTCCAGATAGAGCTTGAACGTGCGCGGTTCGTGATTGTTGGAAGACGTTGGAGGGAAACCAGCGATTTCGAGTTCGTAGTGAAGGGAGCAGTCCAGGTCTACTGCGGTCCATGCTAGACCGACCGGACCGGGATGGACGGGTTCCTGAGATAATCTTCTGAGTAAAACGGGTGCAGTCGTGTCCCTCGCGTCGGCCACAGGCCTCTGCGTCAATCGGCCGCGTAACATGGACCCTACGTGAGAAGCCGCTGCCACCGAGAGCTCCCCGTCGAACAGAGGCTCGAGCAGACGAGGTCCGGGTCGTTCTAGAGATCCGTTGGCCAGACCGTCGACGAGGGAAGGTGTCAAGTCCTCGAGTTCTGTGCGACGCTTCCCGCCTTCATCAACTAGGGTCACCAGCGGACTTTCTTGTTCCAATCCGATCAGCTGAACTCCGTAACGCAGTGATCCGGCACGATCCAGAAACGCCCAGGCTAATCCCGAAGCTGCCGAAGGCGTTTCTGAGAGCAGCAGGGTTTGATACATCTCACAGTTGGCACGCGGTCCCACTATACCGGCCAGTCGAAGTGCCTGAGGGTCTTTTCTAGACATTATGCTGATGGAAAGCTTGCCCCTAGTCAGCAACCTGAGATCCGCACCAGAGAGAGCACTTCTGACTTCTCCAAAATTCAACTCGTTTGACGGTTTCTTCACCACAATTTCTTCTCGGAGAACGACGTAATCCTTCTCCATATGTTCTAACTGGACCACCAGGGAAACTTCGGACACGTCGTTGGGTAAAAAGACACCGTTGAATACCAGAGACACGTGGATGGACGGTGCAGACGCGGACGAGGCCGAGACTATAGCCGTGGCGCCAGCACCCGACATCAGAGAACGATCCACTCCCATTGTTGGTTCGAGCAAGGCAGTGTACTGTTCCGTGGACAAGGCGCGATAGCGAGACAACTGTCCGGTCAAAGTAGACGACGGTTCCCATACGAAGGATACGTGAAGCCGCTCTTCCCGAAGCAGTTTCCGGTAATCTCGTGGCACTCTTCTCCATACTCCGCAGAGTTTACCCGTCGCATTTTGGTAGACACCGCCCACGGGATCTATGGTCTGCTCTTCCAAGATGCTTCCAGATTCGTCGACGAATTGTATGCTCTTCGGGCGAGGTGTGGACGTCGATAAATAGAAAGAGTAATACAGATTCTTACGATGGAAAGTGAAACGACCGGTCGCGAGATAGTTGTAAGCGCTGTTGTACATCGTAGTCGGGGAGGGTTCGTCGCGACGCAACGATTGAGACGTTCTGCCTGTCAAAAGCGTACCGAAATCTGTAATAGAAATACAGATTAATTGAGAACGAAAGGGAGTAGCGTTTATATTAGTGGAGAACCATTGACAATTACGTTTTAGGCTTCGCTCTTCTTCCTCGGAGGTCAACTGCGCCGGCACATCGTGCACCACGTCTAGACCTGGAACACGATTCGAATCCACATTGTCAGAGGCTTCTTCAAGGCTTGCTCTTAGAAGATCAATTTCACGTGACCAGCAATTTATCGTCGATGCTTCAAGTATCCGAGTTAAATTTTATTTTTACGACGCGTACGCAGATAATTTGATTGCAAATTTTGCGGAGCCAAGCTCGATCACGAGGTCGAAAGATCTTGCATGGTGGCGTATCGATTATAAGGCGGCGCGCCGGAGTGGCCCGTCTCGGACGTAAAATAAAAATAACCGCAACGGAGATGCGGAGAGAAGGAAAAGAAGAACGGCGAGGGAGAAGGAGAGCGAAAATCAGTCGGAGCTAGAAGGAGAATCCTCATTCAGCCGCGATGTGTGTACAGACCATAAAGAATGACCGTGGGGTAGGAAAAGAGGCGGCTGGCGCCAACCACCGCTACTTTGAATGTTGCTTTTATGGCGCGCCGGTCCGGCCGCGCGGATACGTTAATTGGTATACGTACAGCGCGAGCCAGTGACAGCCACGCGGTACTTCTCGTTTCATTCTTCCATCCCGTCGTTTCTCCACACTCCTTAACCCCTCGATTTACGGATATTCCCTCCGCGGGACGTTACAACTCGCTCTCGCCATTTATACAACCTTTTTCTCGCGGTTTTGCAACCACGGATTCTTTCGCCAACATCAATTATGTAGGACTGTGGTCCCGATACAAATTTCAATTCCAGTTTCGGAAATGCTAATTCAAATACAGAGGCCGATGATCATGGATTTCGTAAACTGTACCACCGAGGAGGAATTCCTAAAGAGTAGCAGTTTTATGTTGCAAGTTGGCAATTTTCGACGCCCTTTAGAATATATTGCCACCGAAACAAGAAACAAAGCAAAACAGTCGTCAGCGCTGAACAGATGCTGGATACAAGAAAGGTCTTATGCAATTTCCTTCTAACTACGAAAAGAGCGATCAGCGACTGTGTTTTGAACCCCACTGGGTTCTATTCACTGTTTTAACGACTATACGGGTACTGCCACTATTTAGTAGTATCCGTCGGTGACTGTACCGAGAGAAAGCCATGTGGTCCACCGGCGCGCGGCGCCTCGTTTCTTTATCTTTGGCGCGTTACGAGCCCGGATGAGATGCCAAAAAAGCTGCGTGTTCCGATGAATTGCGTCAATCTCAATACTCGCGTAGCTAGTGATAAAATTGCGATACAAAACGAGCTAAAAAAAGAGCGGAAAAACATTCCTGATTTTTAGTAGAGTAACATACACAGTTGTCAACGACAATGATTAATCCTTTAATGCATATTATCATGAATAGATTGAAAACGCTACGGGGCATCCAGTTTCATGGAGCGAGTATCTAAGCGAAATCTCACTTTCGAAAAATTATCTTACAATCGTAAACAACCGTGTTATAAAAAAAAAACGGGGTTCTTTTTATGTTGAAACCGGAGGGTTCGTAGATTCCTGAGTTTACAGCGGGCGAACGTGACTATTATAGAAAGAGCGTTGCGGCCAATTTAATGGCATTCACGCGAGGATCGACACATTACGCGGTACGTTTCACCCGAAGGTCGGTCGTTATTCAGGATTAAAGCGTACTCGTGAAAACATGCCAAAATCACCGAACCTGACCGTGCCTTTCACATTCTCGAAAATACTAATCTACCACGCCTCCTCCTTTGCAACTTCTCGGTAGCCGCGATTCGATGAAACTAGCAAGAAATATGTACGTAAAACCGTATTAAATAGCGCATAAAAATGTACAGAGTATTATATTCCGCTATTTCTATGTAACACGGATTTTTCAGCCGATACGAACGATTTGTTTCGGAGTCATATTTTATATTTTATCGAGCCGCAGTCTCGTTGGAACGAACACTTTGAAAAAATGCGGCAGACATTAATGCAATCAGCGATGCATCAAGTTTGTATCGACGCGAGGTTGCGACACGTAAAAATTGGTATTCGCGTGTTCGTTCCTCGGTGAACACTGTCATCGTGGTCGTGGTCGTCTGGCGGGCTCGTTGCCCCCTGCTGATGGAAGGTGAAGCCGCCTCGCGATTACCAATACGCGTCTCCCCGTCTCCGTCGTCGTCTCTCCCTTTTATGTACTCGCGTCCCGCGAAAAGAAACCGTGACCCGTGAGCCCGTCGATTGGACTGTCACATCGATTCTCATCGGCTCCGACAACAACGTGTCCCGGATGTTGCCGAGAGACGCCAAACCCGACGGAGCCCTCGCCGCACCGGGATAATCGCGAAACGAGTTTCGATCCCCAGTTACTCTCGCCTCATAGAAATATCGACACTGTCCCGGGAACTGCAGCCTCTGTGCAATTTTCGGTGCGCCGTAAATCCTACGACGATCGCCATGATTTATTTATTTATCCGCGGTTGGCCGAACGCAATCGGCGGTATTGAACTGTAGGCAGTAGTCAGAAGCGAGAAGAAAGAGAGGAAGAAGAAGCGATAAGGAGTAACACGCGAGGGGATCCAGTAGCGCACAGTCTAGTTTAGCGAGAGAAGACCAACTCCTCCCCGTTGTCCTTCCCGATTCTCCCACCGAGAGATCCCGGTCTCTCCTCCGTCTATTCTCATGCGCGTTATGCCCGATCATTACGTATGCTAATATTTACATTTAGATTGCGCGGCTTAATCGAAGTGACGCCATGCTGTAATATAGCCGGCGCCATGGCGCTAAACCGTGGCGCCCGTCCTCTCTCTCGTTCCCTCTTTCCGACTCTCTGCCCGACCATCCGCTTCTCCTCTTTCTCTACCTCGCCAACCGTCTCTGCAGTTCCTTTATCATTGACCCTTTTCTGCTCTTTTTTTCACTCGCTTCGGCTCAGTCTCCCACGGGATAATCACGCGATACGTAACACAACTAAATGCAGCCTTTGGAAAAAAAGTACAGATAGAAAATTAAATCGAATGCGTTAAGTATGTTTAAGGTAAACAAGCGATATCGTCTTGTCTTCAGTCGTCGATATACTGTTAATTGTTAATTCCCCCGAGATTTCGCTCGTTGACGATAGCAAAAATAGCGTTGCAACTTAAAAAGGTAAATAAGAAACGTCCTCGTCTGTTCCCGGTTGATACCGTATCAGATATCGAATCGATACTTCGGCGAAACTTTCGAGATGCGCGGCGTCTAAAAATGACGATTTATCGTGCCGACGACATTCCCGTCTGACTTGTTATTAAACTGCACATTTTAATTTACGACCGGCTCCGAGGAACGTTCAATAAACATTTTCGATCGAGGGAAAGCGCGGTGAATTTCGCGTCGACGGACCTCGAGAGGAAAATGGAAAGAATCAGCAATACCGTGACCGCTCGTACAATGTGGGCAGCGCAATTTATTGGTTACTTAGAATCAATTAGCGAGCACGCATTTATTAGTCGGCTGTCATTGTCCGCGCGCGCGCTTTCTATTTCCATTCCTGACCAGTCGGAGATTTCTTTGCCGAGGCTTCCCGACGCGACGACCACCGTTTATTTTTTTTATTTTTTTTTCTTCTCCACCGTCCCACCGCAATTATGCGCGTGTCGCAATTATGAATCCACGCTACCGCGTTAAAACGCCGTAATCGCGGCTACGCAATGAATCATTAATTTAAACCATTTATTTGTCCATGGCGATTTGTCACCCGCTCGTGGAATAGTAAAAGCGTGGTTAATATTCAAGAAAAATATTTACTCCGATGAGCTTTAAAAACAGCGCAGATTATTTCAATAACAAACTAATCAACCAGATCTCAACGATTGTACGTATATCGAATAACCGACGACGACTGTACGTACTTCTTGCTTCGTCAGCACGCGTTAAAAAAAGGTTCGCGAAAGGTAGCAATACGTAATTTTCCAATTGAGAACGGAACACGGGATTCCCGACACGTACCCATTTAACGGCTGACATTTTTTAAATCCTTCAGTCGCTTTATATGCGACACCGATTTCTTTGGTACACGTCCGATATCGATTACCTCATAATCAGCTAAATGCGACGTTTATGGTAATATCCTGCTATTATAGTAATAGATTGCTAATCAAAAGTATAATTTATCCGAGAAACTACATCGTTTATTGCTAAGACTCTCCTTGCGCGTCGAAAACAAATATTAACATAATTTATCAAACGATTTCTCGATCGCTCTATCCGCTCCAAGTACTTTTACTTCTCGCAATTAGAATTAGCCTGTAGACTTTTATGCGCAACTACACGTTTACGATAGATACGTTTCTTTTATCACTTACAACTTTTTTATAAACGCATCGAATCGATAATTATGCAAAAAGATTTACTATGTTCATGTTAAGACGTCATTTGTTATTTATAATAGAACAGAAACGGTGCCCCGATGGTTTCACTTATTCCATCCGCATTCTATCCGTGATTAACAGCGACATAGGAAGAATTCGGCCTGTTCCAGTGAAACTTGCACATCGGAGAAAAATCGTCGAACGAAATAACGGACATCGAGCGAGTCGATTTGACGCGGATCGGCGCAAAAGCGAAAGGGTTGAACTGTTCCATTTCGTCACGTCTAAGAATAGGTTCGAGCGCCGTGTGCTTCGCGATACTTCGCCAAAAAGAGCAAAAAAAATGCAAACTCGCTGACAACAGTGTAGATTGCGATGGAAAAAAACGTGAAGAGAAAAAGAAGCTGTCGGTGCGATCTCTCTCTCTCTCTCTCTCTCTCTCTCTCTGAAGAAAAAGGAAGATGAGGAGGAGCATGCATGCGCGCAGAACACACGTTGATCCGCTAATCTCTTAATAAGAGCATTCGAGCATCGGGGCGATAATAAGAGTAAAGGTACCAAGTCGATAGCGGTAATTACATGGCATTGCAAATACGATTATTGAGCCGATAGAGAGACACTCGAGGAAAGAAGCGACACGCGCAAGAGAAAGAGAAGCTCCGTCGTCGGAATCCGATAAAGACGAGGACAAAAGAGGCGGTGATCATTGATAAATGATTTATGCAAGCCACTTGACTCTCATTAATGCTTGCAGGCTCTCTCGGTATCTCGTCTCTACGTTTACGAGCCATGCTAACTTCTTTCTTCTCATTTACATGTCCACGACGATCACTATCAGCAGCCAAGAGGAGATCGTCGACGATACTTATTATAACGATGTTTAAAGATTCTCGATTATAATTGCCAGATAGCCCGACGATTTTATTTCTATTAAAAGCGAGTCGAGATCGACATTGACACGAATGTCGGGCAAAAGCACACGTGTTTGTTCGAGACAGTGATCGATACACAAGTTTCGGGATCGTATTACGGCGATTCCCTTATCTTGGAGATACCGTAGCGTTAAGTAACGACGAGACGCTATATTTTCTCCTCTACGCTCTGCGCGCTGGCTGACAGGTGCGAGCCGTGTCCAATGACACTGCTCCACATACGGATCAGCGCAATTTCATGCACTTACGTACATATTTCTAATACTCATACCTTCTATCAACTAGTGTAAAAAAAAAACTTGTGGTCACTCACTTGTATCACCTGGGCAGGATTTGCAACATCTGCCTTGGAGAAGAACGGGCTCCTTGCACGTCAGCTCCGGGCATTCGTTCTTGATGTTGCGACAATGAGTCCTCGCCACGATTCGTTTTTTCTTTTGCACCTGCAACCGAATTAATTGAGCGATGTAAGGAAACGTTTTTAACAAACGAGCTCGTCGTCGATCAACGCACCGTTCGCCTTTCCCGAATAATCAATGTCCCTGCTAGTTCTTCCATTAGCTATCGTGACACGACGACGTTTCAAAGTGCGATCATAATGTTCTCGATTCTGCACGCATGTTTATTACCACTTTACGCATCGCTGGCGACAGTTGTAGCGCGGCGCGCACGTATAAATCTATCGGCGGATAATTGGTAGGTGTTACCGATCACAAAGGACCCGTTTATCACGGTCAATGGTGCCATTATTCGCGAACCCCTTTTCTATACACCCCGGCAAGCGTAAATCCCCTCGTTTAACGTCTCATTCGGTCAACGCTTTCTAACAGTTTCTCGCGAAAACATTTTGCACAATCGGCTACCGGTATTCCAAATAAAATCTAACAACGGTTAATCGAAATTGACAGGCTGGAAATACAGTTTTGATATTTTAATTAAAATGAATGAACCATTCCCGACCACGGTACGCCTTGTAAATTCATATTCTGTGGCTTTGTAACCACTTTCTACCATACGTCTGATCGTGTTTCTTTTCAAACGTCTCGCTCACAGTTCTTTACGGCGCATTTCGTGCTACACTTTTCTAAACGTGGTAAGGTCTCTATTAAAATTTCGCAACCACGCAGATCGCGTGACTCGAGATGTGTCCGAAAAAAATAAAACACTCTACGAGTGGTACTAAACTTCATTCAAACCGTGGGGACGGCAGTTCCATGGGATGTAAAAATTAATCGGAGACGAGTCGCACGAGGTTAATAACATTGGATTAATACGTTGACCCTTGGTTCGATATGGGGTTAAGAATGTGGAAATAAATTTCGGGTCAATCGTAAAACGATTCGAAGCTCCCGGTCTGTGCGGTTCGATTAATGCTCTCTATCATAGTAACGGTGGTTCGGTCGCGCGTGCATTAATTTATCGTCCGGACAGACCGACTCTTCTCTTAATGGAGTTTAATTCAGCCAATCTTCGTAAACTCCGTCCTTGACTGGCTACTGTCCTCATGTTACTCGTCCGCTATCTGCTATCGGTTACCAATCGATTTAACAGGAAAACTGATTTTTCTCCAACAATCGTAAAACCTTTTTTTAAATTATCAATACTTATCGGTACTCTTTACTAGCTTAAATCGTATCTTCCCTAGAGGAAGTCAACATTTCTATTTAGAATTTATCAACGATGAGTAGTCGGCGGATTTTATCAGAAGATCACAAGTGGGCTACGTATTATTGTTTTTAAAGGATGAAGTTTTACTCTGCGCCTGCGGTCTAGTGATTAGCAGAAAAGGATTTCGCCGAGAGAGCTATAAATGCGCTAATGCTAAAACGGAAGGGGAAGATTTGAGAGAAAGAAAGAGAGAGGAGTTGGACCAGTGGCTCCTGGACTCGCGCGTGAACTCTATTTATAGCCCTCGATGGTATGACAGTCCCTCTTCAAGCGTGTATGAGAAGCTATTGATAGGTGGTGGGTTTCGTTGGGAGCAGACACGTCGCGTGAATCACGCGAGACACTGTAATTTCTTTTATTCCTAAGCGGTACCCTTTACTTCGTAACGGTTTCGCGTGTCACCTTACGCGTTTACCTAATTTCCAATAAGGCTTACAGCTATGAGATTTAATCGGATACCCGTGCGGCATTTTCATTTACCGAAGCCAAGGCCATCGTGCACGTGCGAAAACAGGTTCGACGTTCGTTCCCAAGATTTTTTTCTGGGACGGATGCCCACGCGGAGGACCCCACGCGCAAATTAACACCGACTTCCGGTCCGAGCTATCATTATTCCTACAATAGTGTCAAAATAATGAATGACTATCGCGGTCAGAGAAAACCGTGGGCGGATGAATCACGGTTCGCAAATAGCGGGACTCTTTTTAATCGAGATGATCTCCACGCTTGGCAGAAGGTCCTTCTCTATAAAACCCTCGAGTTCATTTCCAGCCCGGTATGTAACTGGAACCCTAACTGATCTCCGCGATCTCTTATCCTTTCGGCTTTAGCCGCGCCGCCCGGAAAGAATCTGCTTTTCGCGCGCGAGACACAACCGCGCGCTGCGAATCTGTCCTAAACTCGAATATTTATCGACCGGTCGACGTGTCCGCTGGATCGTAACGAATTCGACGACGCCGGAGATCGGAGATGCCGAGACTCTTCGGCTTGCTTTGGTGCACGCGAACCTCATGGTTTATACGATATAATTATAATTAAGAGGATGCAAGAAGAAAAGGGAACAGAGGGTATCGCGTGGGAGGTGTTGGCGGGTCTTGTATAATGAGATGAGTATCTTTAATAGCCGACAAGTATCGAGAGCCCCTCTTAACCAGCTTCTTAGCCATCTTTTATTTCTGCGAGTGGGTGTGAACGAAATCGAATCATAGCTGAACGGCGCTTTTGTTCGCTGGATAAAAATCAACCTCCATCCTCCCTTAATGAAACCTTGCAAGCCGGAAGAGAAAAAAAAAACACCGGAGTTGCATTCACGAATAAAAATAATTACAGATCGGCGATTAGAAAAAGGGAATTGTATAGCTCGGAGCGGGTTAAACGAAGCAGAAAACGGGTGCCCGCCTTTCGTCGAGAAAGCCCGGAAGAGAACACTAAACGCGAGGCGTAATCGGGTCGGGTCGCACTTTTATCCGTTCGAGATCGCGCTCATTAGTACCGGAGCCTATTATTAACGGTCAAAGTCGATAAGAAAAACGGTGATTTAGCGATCAACCACGTTACGTTCGTTGATACGTAACGGCTGCAGATTTTTATACAAAATAAAACTACCGTATCAACTCCACAATTGAGAATCAAATCATTTTTTACATTAAATATTGCGACATCAGTTTTTATTTTTAACGTGTGACGCGATCCTAAACTTTTGGACGGTGTTGTACGCTCGGTACCCAACGGGTTACGGCCGTTCGTCCATAAAACAGGCAGTAAAACGGACAATGTTTCTCAATTTTTATTTAATTAAGTCGTAAAGTACGCGTTCGAATAAGTTCGCCACGTACGTTGCACGTTTCCGACTAACCGCAAATGAAAAATTGTCATTGACATACTTAATTCGGTGCAGTTATAGAAAAATTCGCTGTGAGATCAGATGCCAATCGTTACGCGATCAAAGAAATTTCTCTGTAAACCGCGTTTTCGAATTGTATTATTTTGCATAAAAATCTGCAGTCTAATCGTTGAAAGAAAAAAAACAAAGGAGCCAAGGTTGTAAAGAATTACATATGTATGTTGTACATAGACTTTTTCATGTAAATGCGCCAAGTCAGGAAGTTGTTATCGATCATCGTATGGAAACGTTGATCTCGAAGGGGGGAGCCACGGGAGGGAGGAGGCGGAGGGACGAGGAGAAAGGGCATAAGAATATCGATGACACGCGTGTGTGCAAGGGACGTGGCACGCTGCGTCTAACGTTATCGTCCGATCGCATATATGGGACACGAAACAAAGCGGTGTTTTCCTCCCCCGCCACCGCCGTGCACGTACGCGCGGAATGCAAATCACTGTTGTTACGCGATCGGGCAACAATTCGAGCGGTTCCGGGGCCCGTAACAACGCAAAATAAACTGGAATCGATATTCCACCGATCACGATTCATCCATTTGCATATTGTCGTTTCTGTCATTTCTTTTTTTGTCCCGATGTGATCATTCTCTGCTGCGTTCAAATCTACAGTCTTTTACCGTCCGATCAGAAAATGACAATAAACGAAGTTATAAAAGATTCTACTACGCTCGTAACAAAATAATTGTTCTCCCATTTTCATTTTTTAAACGTTTCTATACAATATCGCGTTACTGCGTCGATCGAAAGCTTGTGGCCCGTGAGGCTGTTAAAATCGAATCGGACGAAACGTTGTATCGATGGCGTGAGTCATTGTACCTGTAAAACGATACGTGATCGATAGGCCAGGACTCGTGCAGTAGCGCACGGTAGACGATCCGACGAACGGTCGCCAGTCTGTCTCGGAGAGCGGGAATGCGGGATTAGAAAGCGCGTCAAGTCCGAGTGTACGTCACCCAGATCGAGGAGATTTAGCCCGTGGCTCCGCGTCTGTGTAGATACGCGGCAAAGGGCAATGCCATTTCTACGACCTTCTCGGAAAAACCGATCCGAGAATCGATATCGATCGTATACGCGACTTACACATTCTACGGGGCGTGTGATCCTTCCGAGTAAGCGTACGCGGCCGGCATGTACGATCCTCTTGCGACACCCAAGAGAATTTATATCGAACCCTCGAAACGACCGATTAAGGTTACGCGTGGCAAATGAAATAATGCATGCGCGTCAATCATCTTATCCCGACGAAGATTAATTACCGCTGTCCAAGAAACTTTGAAATGAGTCATAGAACAACAGGTGTCCGTCCAGAACCGGCGATATTTTATTCAAACAATTTGAAAATAGCGTAGAAAATAATCGTTTCGGAATCTCTTCGCGGTTATGAAATCACCAAATCGTTACCGTGTTCAGAGATATCTCGTCTCCGAACTAAACGTTTCTAGCGGGCTTGCGGCCTCGGCGCGCGGGTTAAAGGTCGCTCGCGAACATGCACGGGAAGCGGGGAAGGAGGGGCCGTAACACGTGAGGAGAGGGGAACACACCCAGTTTAATACGTACCGGAATGCACTCGCATTTGATGCAGTACATGACTCCGAAGGGCGGGCCCAAATCCGCGAACCAGGTGGAGCCCAGTTCCCGTATCTGCTTGCCGAACGTGCATTCTGCAACACAACAAACAGGCATTTCAATCGACTCGAGCGAATTTATCCGTCTCTCGTTTTTTTACCAAACGATATACGCACGACTTAGGCTTGAAATACGACTAGGCGAAAATATTTGAAAGCGGTTTACACGCAAATATGTACGATCCTGTTTCTACATAATCGCCGAACGATTACACGTACGTATACGCTACCAGCGATACGTAACGGCAGTTTCTAATCGGTACAACGTTTCGTTCAACAAAAGAAATAGGTCTCTCGTTCGATCTTTGCGGTTAACGCGTATTTCGAGATCGGACGAGAGCGAGATCGGAATGAATGGAGAGCGGGGTCTCTTCCCGGCTGGCTGCGCGTTTAATCGCCCAGTCTCTGAATCATCGTCGCGCGAAGAAGGGAAACGAGTCGGCTTAAAAATCGCCGAGACGACGATGAGACGGTGCGTAAAAGAAGAAAGCGAGACGCGGTTTCGAGAGCTCGTTCTCGCAAGGCCGCTGCCTCGTTTAATGGTGACGCCGTCTCACCTTCTTCACCCAAAACGAGAAAAACGACTGTCGAGGCGTCGCGACGTCTTTTCCCTTTTTCCGCGTAAAAATAAACCCAACAGCACGTCGGCTCGTGCCGAAAATAACAGAAGAATCCTTTCGATGTATTACGCGGCCAATCGCAGCTTCCCAGAAACAACTTTCATCTCTTCAACCCAACCCCTTCATTCTTCTGTTCGTTAAAATTGGCCTATCGTTTGACATGATTTTTAGGCTCCGATTTTGGACAAGCGTCCTTGTCTTAAACGCATAAATTCATAATAATTGGAGTGCAAATCTCTGATTTAAATAATTATTTAAACTTCGTGATATCTATGCATTTTTGTATGAATTAATAAAATCCGCGGTGTACTAATAATAGAGGACAATAGCTTGGCACGTTCGAGGAGCGCAAATGCCGAGGAGGTTATTAGACGAGCCCGGTGTAAATCACGTTTGAATCCATCCGGAACCCCGATACAAACGTCGCGAGACCGAGAGAGGAGATCTCTTTGGGCTCGTCGTCGGTTCGGTCGTTCCGTTTGCTTTGGACGTAGGAGAGAAGGAGAGGGCGAAAGATACACAGCGAAGGCTCGTTGCACGAGGTCGTTGCACCGCGTGTGCTAAGTCGTTCTAAGCCGCGGAGTTGATCCTAAGCGAGCAGAAGTCTCGATACGCCACCGCATCGCAAATATGCGAGTCCCAGTACCGTGCCACGTTCTACGGTTCCGCCCTTAACCCACTTGTTTCCGGATAAAACGATACGAGTTGTTATAACGCAAGGGGATGGATGATCGTCGACCGGAGGAACGAATTAGAAGCGAAAATTGTAAAATAATCCTGCGTCAAATGTTTCGAACGAAGCCCACAGATTTTTAGAAGTAATCTCTTTTGAAACGCGTAGACTCGAATTTTTGGGTGACAATTTTTCTGATTAGTCTACCGAGCGAGCGTTCGAAGAACTCGGGCAGGAAGTCGATTTCGCCGGAACGGGCTTGGAGATGAAGCGCAAGATTTCACAGTTCATAAGTCAGATGCGCGCAGTTAACGGTCTATGAAACGTTGGTATATGGGCCAAATTAGCACCGACCACGTTGCAGGCCGCGGATTCTCTCTCCTATTCTCAACCATCCAATAATAGATTAAACGTTTAGCGAGATGCAACGCCTATGTCCTATCGTTGCATCCCGGTTCGAACTACAAGCCGTAAATTAGTCTTCCGTTTTTGAAGGTCTAACGAATTCGTAGCTGAGACACGTAACGACGGTACAGAAAGACGAAATTAGGGATACAATGCGAAGGGAAGGGCAAGGAATTACAGAACGCATTTGCATAAATGGATCAGCATAAATTAAGCCGAGTGGAAAAGCGTCGCGTTTGTAAATTGGCTGCGATTTGCATAAGCACAAACGCGTTCCTTCTACGAAATTGTATACGTTTCGAGCTACAAAATATTTGTACCTATCATTTTTCATGGTATATTAAATAAAGAACAATTAATAGTCAAGACTAATAAGAGCAATAAATAAATCACGGATACGGAGATGAGAACGTATTCGTTATTGTCGTTTCCAAGATATTCGATAAAACCTTGGGCAAATATATTTTCTAAAGCAGTGCGAAGTAACATTCGTTGATGCTATTACTCGTTTTAGTGTCCATGTATTTTGAGGGGCAGTGCGCGTGTGTATTTGGGTATGCAGTGGAAACGGTAATTTGAGGGAAGAGCCGTCGTTGGGTATGCGTATACTCGCGACGATGACTGGGAACGTCGAGAAACAGGGGACGTAATCTGTACGGAGAATCGCGCGAGACACGTAACGAAAACAGACACGTTTTCAACGGCGGACTGTCGCGCGTTTCGAGCACCGCAAAAACAGAACAGACGACCGCAGTTACGTACCGACCACGACTTCGTGTTTGATCCGCGCTCCCATAAATTCGCCTCCACTCCGATGGAGGGGCATCGCTCGATAACGCAAATATTGCCTTAGCTTTAAGGCAAATATACTCGGGAAAAGATTCCTCCTGTCCTCGCCGTAACATCAATCGAAAATAAGAATACCCATGCTTTCTAATAGGCTACAGACTTATCAACAAAACAAACATTTGTAATGGCTATATGCAAAATGAATATCCTTCGTCCTTTAAAAATAATAATATGCATTTCATTTCTGATGTATTATACTCGATTTATCCGCGGATATTCAATGCATTTTTTATAAATGAAGCGAACTATTAAATACTTGTTCACTGAAGTGCTTTAGTATATAACTTTATCTAGTAATTTGATCATGTTTTCTCCAGACTAAAGTCAAATGTAGATATTAAGGATGTATTGGCTATACAGTCAATCCCAAAATTTTATGTATTTTAGAAAAACGCATTTCGTATAATTAAAAAGAAATCAGACGTCGGAAGAACAGTGCTAACAATAAATAGCTACGTGGTAAAAAGTATAGAAGGAAATATCCAATTAATTACTGACGCTGGCGAAATGTTTTTTTGTAGCTATTGACGTGTTCTACACGAAAAGTTTTTGATGTTGACAAAATCCGACCATTCCACCATCGAAACGGCGAACTTTTGGAAAAATGTTTCGTTTTCCCTCAATAACTCCCAAACCGTTGGAGATATGGGAAAATTGCATAGAACCTTTTTTGTAGAGGACGTCGAGATCTACAATTTCCATATAAAAACTTTTCGCTAGCAATAATATTTAAAGAGTTATGGACGAAAAACGAAAAAACAGTTTTTTGCAAATTACTCATTAACTATTGACGCTAGCGAAAAACTTTTACACGGAAATTGTAGATCTCGTCGTCCTCTACAAGAAAGGTTGTATACAATTTTTCCGTATGTCCAACGGTTTGNCGTCAAATCAGTATTGAGTTACTGTTCACTACCATAAGTGTACACGCAGATTTTAAGTCACGATAATTTTTCAAAAATCCATGAATTGATTTAAAATTTTGCAGGTAGCTTTTTAATAGTAATAGGAATCTATAATAACAAATTCAACATGCTAGCATTGTTTAAGTGTATAGCCTATACATCCTTAAGACGCAGCCTATTCTGCAAAGAAACAAGAGGGGTAGCTTGTTTTGAATTTTGGCGTGCATACATACAAGCTCCAGTTCGCGTTCTTGCTAAAAATATCGCGTTCGTGAGAATGCGCGTCCATCAGGTTCTTTTCAAAGGGTTGGTAGTCAACTATTAATCCCAGTGTTTTCGCACCTTGCCACAGATAAACTTGCCCGGTTCTGACTTTACAATGTCCCGCGTTTAGCTCCGCCTAGGTATCGCCACGATTCTCTAATACCTTCCAAGCTTCTCTTGCGGTTTCAGTTCCTTTTCAATACCTACGCGATTTCGCGATGAAAATTCGCTCGCTTCCGCTCGAGGATGGAAGAATAAAAAGAGGACTCGCCGTATCACTCGTCTCGCTTCTTCCACATCGGAAATTCATTTCTTCTTTTTCATTTAAAAATATTTTCAGTGCGATTTCGTGGAAGCCGGAGTGAAAACGAGAGCGAAGAAATTCGGCGTTGGAACGAGGGCGTCGATGTATGCGACGAGCACCGGATATCGTACGTTACGCTTCAGCGGGATTCGCGTGGGAGCAGGTCGGATCGTTTGTATTTCGAATGGTCAGGTTAAAAAATAAACAGAGAATCGGACCGAAGTATGATCAATATTTTCCCTGCCACATTTACTTTCTCCGCTCGTTATCCCTGCACTCCCCTCCGATCTTATGCGTCCATCTATCAAATGTTAAGCCAAGTTTAACCCTCTCGATCCCGTCTCGAACATAAATTTAAACAAACGCATCTACCAAAGAGTACGCATAAAAAAATATGTATACAATTTTCTTACTTGCGTTCTGCTAAAGTATAACAATGAATTCTGTAATCACGTTTAACGAATGAATCAAGCATCTCTTATTAAAATGATTTTAGCCGATTCTTATTGATTCGCTCTGTATGTTGAAAAACTGAATGGACTTGGGGAATCAGGTGCGACTGTCGTTCACCTTCCGGGCTACTTTCTCATAGGCAAGTGGGTGGAAGTCCCGCACGTAGGCGACTTTTCTCCGACATCGACGCATCGTGTCTCAGACGCGATCTGCAGCCGACTCGTACCTGCTCCCTCGTCTACAGGTTTCACGTAGGCGGTGGACACCTACGTGCGCCACGACCGAATATGTAGATCCATGATCGGTGCATTAATATGCAGAGGATTTAAACTCGAGTACCGCGTTCACAATTCGATTATTAAACAAACAACGACTTCACTTTATCTGAAATTATTCGATTTCACGTATGTAGAGGAAAAGGCAAATATATAGAACGTCACAAGATGAGAATACATTTCAACGTTTAAACGACATAAAGATTTCAATGAGAATCACATTTTTTAAATTGACTCCATAAAAGTATTATTTTGTTTAAAAAATGTAAATTGTTGTAAAAAATGTAATGGTATTTTATCGAGCGAATTTTATTCGGAATTGGGGAGAAGCCGAGGTATGGAAGGCACCTAAAGGTCTGGACGAATGTACGTAGGCGACACGCCCTCGCAAGTTTGTATCATCGGTTCGGGGCGCTCGCCCTAGCGAGTATACGAGAAGGATCGCTGCCCACGCGTGTGTACACGTTTTCACGGATTTCGAAAATACTCTTTGAGAAGAAACGCGACACCTACGTCTTCGACTATCTAGCAATTTTCTGCCCTCGTCGAACAACGTTATGAAATATTAATGACCGTCGATTCGAATCAAAGAGTACCCACGTGCCTAAAATTAGCCGTTCGTTACTTTTTCATCATATCGATGGAAACCGTGGATGGATAATTAATATTTACAGCAATAGATTACATTAAAAAGCTGTAGAAAAATCAATTGCGACTTCCACGAACGCATTAATTCGATCAAGGACTATCATCTTCGTGATCCCGAGGCAAGATGACGGCTTTCGCTTGATTTTCAAATCCGCTCTTGCCGAGAGGAAGAAAAAAGATTGTACACGACGATACCAGGCGGCACGGAGATGAAAGCCGTAGGTGATCCTATCTGCCGGTGGCTTTGCAAGTACAATTAATCTCTTTGGGTGCGCGCGAAGGGAAAAGCGGGAACTCGATCTTCCATGTTCCCTCGGTACGTGCTTGGACGACCCGAAAATACCTTGGGCGCGAATTTTCGACGTCGCGGCGCGAACAAAGACGGCGAGGAACCGTTAAGGACTCGCACGGAGGCGTCACCTCGAGAAACTCGCGCAAAAATGTGTCACTGATGCGCCTTTAATCACCCGGCGACGCCGAGGGGACAAGAAGAAGCGCAACGGGAATATTGCTAGTCGATCGTCCGTGCTGCGAGAACGGGAATGTTAATCAAGCATCAAGAGTTATGACAAATGGTGCGATTTTACAGGGGGCGAGCGATGAATTATGTTACTGTCGCTCCACAGACGTAGAAGAAACGACTCTTGGAACCGCGCGAACGCAACTCGAGTGGAACGAACTACCAATAGCCGCTGATAACAAAAAACTGTTGTTCCTTTTTCGCGAATCTCTGCATTCGATTTATTCCACGGAAGAGCCAAGTAAAATATGCTTGCAACTGGACACAGATTCAACAGAGAGCGAATGCAGAAACGCGAAGAGAACCAGCTGTTTTTAAATTAAAATGATTGTTACTTGATCGATGAGAAGGGGAAAAGGACCTAGAGACGAAGATGAGGCATAGGCAACTGCGTTCGGTGGTACAGCGTGGCCGAGAAGGCAACTGGCAATGCAATGCCGAGTTGCTATATATAGTTGGCCCTGAGTGTGCAAAAATCACCCTACAAAAATCTGGATCAAGGGGCCATTCACCAACTACGCCAAGTATCGCGCGGTAGCGCCTTTTAACGCGATCGTCCATCGTCGTCGTCATCGTCCCGACGTCGTCATCGAGTTTTACAGACGCACGTTGCGTGCGTACTTACTCGCGTCCATATAAAGTAAAAGTCGAACCGAATCGATGCCAGTCGATACCCTCACCATTCGTTAACCGTCCCACAGTTGCATCCCGTCGCACCATTTTAAACCGAAATCGTGAGCGAAGTCGGAAAATTCTATTCCAGTTCAGAATTTCGCGTAAAAATCTCGCGCTATCGCGTGCATAAAAAGCGACTCGGTGCATCGGCACGTCACGTGTCGCGAGACCGTATACGATGCTAAAGGTGACGTGAAACTCGAGACTCGAGGAAGATCGCAACCAGGTAGGAGAGTAAACAAGTGGATCGCGAAATAAGAATGAACGAAAGAATCGAAACGAACGAAATTCGTAAAAACGGAAAGCTTATCCTCCACCTCAACCTACTGCCTTTTTGTACTCGTCACTGGTTTTTATTTTAACAATGATGTAGTTAATCCAGATTCCCGCAACTATCCAAATAGGAGGAAAGTTCGTTTCCTATCATAACGTGCATACACTATTTCACTTCATTGAAACGATCTATTCAATACAGCGAAACCAAGTAAAAAGACGCGAACAAGAATAATGTGATCTGTTTCCGGTATCACAGTTAAACTTGTAATAAATATTCTCTTATCTTAAATCGTACTACGAAGAAAAGTAAAGAAGGAATACTTTTACTCGCACGTTTTGCGCAACTAGTGAAACCGTGCGCATTAAAATGTAACGAGAAACACTGAATAATTTTTTCAATTATGCATCGACATTTGATTCGGTCTGAACGTGAAATGAACTGTGAAAAAAATGAGACCGTGGCTGCCAAGTTTTCTGCAACTTCCCCGGTCAAACCTGACCAATATACTCGTTCAGTTTATTGAGTATCAGCGGAAATAAAGTCGAGGGTTGAACGTTTTATGTTCAGAATTTGGAACGTGGTTTCGTTGCGTGTAAAATAGTCGGGGTTTTAACGAGGTTTTCGCAAAGAAACCGCGCGGAGAGTATGCGTGTCCGATCCTCCATCGGGCGGACGGGATATTTTAGGATTAACAGTGGTCTATCCTTTTGTATTTTTCCCGAGGTGAGGATTCATCGCGGTTCATCGAACCCGCGTGCAAGCGCCACGCGTTATCCTAGACGCTCAGAATAGTTGCCGGAACACCGTGTTCCTGGAATTCACGATGAGATTCGCGGGAACCTGAACGTACAAGGAATGAATCGTTCGCCGGCTACGCTCCGACTTTAACCCGACGTCGAACGATATTTTTATCCTTACCAGAATAAATTCTTCCGTCAAACAATAATTGATAATAAATTTACAATTTTTAGCACGGCATGCATTAGCGAACTGCCACTAACTTTTTCAGTATACCGAACTCGTCGTCGAACGATATTTTTAGCCTGGCCAGAATAAACTCTTCCGGGAAAGAATAATTGATAAATTTTCGCTATCAGCGAGCATATCGTGGCAGCTCTCCGATTGTAGAAAATCCATTTGATAAAACGAGATTATTATTGAAACAGAGAGCAAGATCTCGTAAGAATTTACACGATACGACGTATGTATAAGGCGCCATGGCGTGTATCGTGCGCGTGAATAACGCGTGCCAAATGTAAGGGGCCACGTAACCCACGAACAGAAACAGCCTCGTAAAGAATACGACGATGCGGTAAGAAACCGACGGGACCATTTGTCACGGGTCTCTCGCGTTTCGCCAAAACTCGGCCTCGACGTTCGAACGAGGAGAGAAAAGAAGATTACGACTGTTTTTCCAGAGCGCCTCGATACGAAATCATTCTTTGTCATTAGAAAATCGAATCCGTGAACATTCTCTATCGTACGATCGTTTTATCGAACGTTTTAATTGCGAAGAAAATTTTGAAGTTACTCAGACGAGAGAATCATGCGAAGCGTTCTCGAAGAGAAAAGAAAGTCGTGAAGAGAGCAACGCGAGGAGGCGTTTGAAGAGGGGCCGAAAGAGAGGCAGGAGGGTGCGGAGGAACGTCGGGGGAGAGAGTTGTGGTGCAGCACTCAGAATGGAGCCGAGTGCCAGAGAATCGGTTGTCCGTGTATTTCAGGAGGCACGGGCCACTGCACTACCCCTACTACGTTGTCGTACGTGCTATGTATATCGTACCTTTCATATAATGCACGCGCCCGGAGACACGTTTTGTGGTACCGAACGGATAAATGCCCGGGGTTGGCTCCTAGGCGCCGACACTTTGTTCTGGAATACTCGCCAGACGTTAACGTATGTCGTCCGCGGAATTCGCTTTGGACGGAACACCGTAAAAGAAGGAAACCGGTCGACGGAATTCTCGTCGCTGCGCCGTGAAACTATTTCCAACGACCGATGATAACCGATAAAGCGACGCGAGTCGAGCGAATATCTAGAACCGTGGAATCTTAACTGTAATCGTTCGAGCATTTTTGACCCGGTTCTCGGTAATGTGTACATCGACGGGACGGTAATTTCATTAAGTTAATACTATTAAGTCGTTAGCACGTAATTCTGTACGTGGAACATTGTATATACGTCAACTAAAGATCCCATTTACGCTTACAATGTTGCCCGCATTACTTAAACGTCTCTAGCAACTTCGTATTTATTCACGAGTGAATCTGAATCGACCGAGGGACAGAAAAGGTTAACGCGGCATATGAGGAAAAATTGATAGGCACGTCGCTTGGTCATTCATTCACGCAATGCGAGATGCGAGAAATAGAGAAATCACTGAGGCAGAAGATACGGGGCGTCTCACCGTTTCTTCAAATACGATCGAAACTGAAGAAACCAAAGGTAGGAATAAGAGACAGAATTTTTCACTGTATGATTCATATTTATAATGGAACTCCTTAATTGACATTGTACGCTTTTTTCCCCCTCAATAAATTTCGAGACGTCTTTAATTAAAGCCGAGCAGACAGCGCGAGAACGCGTTCATTAAAGGAACGGTGATGAAGAATTGCGGCGTGAGGTCGGTCAGTAAAAATACCAACGATATTGTGTGTATAGAATCGAGTGAGTCAAGAGGAATACGAGCGGCATGCAACCGGTGACCCCTCCGCATGAAATTGATGGAAACAAACGAGCGCGGGGTTATCGGCGTGATTACTCTTCTGACGTTATCTCCGCTGCGTCGTATGTATTTTCGGACACATGCGAGCCATCCGTTAATTTCTCGCGCGCCGATTATTATCGCCAATTGCGCAAGATACGCTTTTAGCATTTTTCCTCCATTTCCATTTAATCCAATGAACACATTTTTCTCAGAGTCAAAATTGCTCCCCCGTTTCCACTTAATCTGATCTACGATCTGAGAGTCTCAGGTAGCGTCTTTATTAAAAAACCGACAGGACGACGGATCTGAGATTCTAACATCAAAGTATAAATAGAGTCGTTACTATCCGGCAAAAGGAAGAGGCGAGTGATAGGATGCAGGGGTTAAGTTTGATTTACACTGATCCCTCGTATCTGTCCGGCGTATCGTATATACCAATTCCAGTCTCTGTTCGGATTTTTTCATATTCAAATTGTAGCCGTACCGGCGGATGTAAATCAAGTTTCGGATCAGCGGGAAGCGTATCGTCCGTGACTAGAGAATCGCTGTAAATCAGGCTTTATCGGAGCGAACTGTACGGGTACGGTGTATTGAGTAATCGATCGAACCGAGCCGAGCCGCGAATCGCGAGAGCGTACGATTAATATTCGAAAAGGATCGAGATCGTGCCACGAGGCGAACCGGCAACGTCAATCAGACTTTGGAGACGTTGAATCTCGATTTGCATCTCCGTACGCCTTGTTGCTCTCATCCGCGCGCAATCGAAATCTTCTCTAACGGCGCGACGCGTCGTTACGACGACAAATCAATCACGATAAGACTCGGGACGAAACGTCTGTCTTGCCCCATAACGTACAGAATCATTTTTCTCATTTCAATAATTTCCAAAACAAATACAACGTGTTTCGGGAAACTATTCACTTTATCAATGTCAGTAATTTGACGTCGAATTTAAGAAAGCAGCATTGCAAATATGAATTTGATACAGTAACAAAAGATATTCACTAAAGCGGATGTGGATCGCACGATACGAATGAAACGAGAAGAAGGGGTTGAGAAACGCGCAACAATTGCACGAGCGCATCGGTACCTACTATATTATACGCGAGGAGACGATATATTCCACGGTGCACGCCTACGTGATGTCATGTCGCGCGTCAGAAATGCCGACCTTGCGGCCGCCGCGCCGCGGTTCAAGTCAGTGCACGCGTAATGCAATGCATTTGTATTGGCCAAGCCTTTCGGCCGATCCCACCATCGCGTCTCATCGGCTACAGTTGATAACCATACCTCTGCTCGCGCCTTCAGTTCGAAACACAATTGACGAATGTACTGAGTCATACAAACAACATACAGAGATGAGACTCGGCGATTTCCTCAAAAAACTACAGTCACTTTGAGCGATCTATTTAAGGGAGAAGAGATTATGATAATTATATTTATCGCTGGACTGATCCTGCTAAATGTTCTTACGGGATGCACGAGGACAGTCGAGCTTATCGTTTTTCGCGTCGCCAGTCTGCGAGTGTCGCAGATAACACGGCAGGTCGGCTTACAACTTTTACATTTCCGGCGCCAAACGAATTCCCGTTCCTTGCGCTCGTCTACGTTTGATAACACACGTTAACATTGCATTCGCGCTTCGTTTTTAACCACGTTTAGGAACGATTGCGAGATAAATAGTCGGGCGTGAACCGTTGACTCGAAGCTTTAATAAAAATCGGTGTACGAACGTCGGGATCGGACAGATCGGGTTTGAATTGGAATCTGAAACGAGAAGTCGTCTCGTTTCTTCCGATTGTATTGAGTTAACACGGTTGGAAGACTGCCAGGGCTTAAGGCCTAAGCTTAAATCAAATCTGTCTAGCGGGTGATCCGCTGTCGGCGAGTGGCTCATTCGTACTACTGTCAAGCGCACCGCTGGCACGTGTCAATTCTCGAGCCAAGAAAACTGACCGATTCACTCGGTTTTCCTACCCCCTTCGGAACCCCGTGTCAGTCAGCCCTCTGTGTGCCTTTGCCCGTTCCATATACACGGTCCGCCGTGCCTCGATGGGGATGCCGATAGCTTGGCTAAAAACGGTGCCTTGAGTCACCGCTAGGAATTCGCAGAAATTCACCCCACTTCGAATATCTTTCGAGAAAAATTAAACTACGATCTTTAGTTCTATTTAGAAGCTATTCTATACCTATACTGATTCTATTTGCAGGCTCAGAAATCGAACAGAAGCAACAATTCTTAAGAAGCGTACAAAAAAGGAAAGAGGTGTTAATTGCCTCAATTAATCGACAGCTCACGTGACAACGTGGATTTCTTCGACAGGGGATTTTTTTCCAGGCGCCCGGAGCGTCACACGCGCATCGGGGAAAATTACTCTGGATTCGTTTCACGGTAGGAAATACCACGCCCGTGATCTAACAAGAAATCATTCAGCGATAGCAGTAATTTTCCTGCTAGGTTCAACGCCGCGGATGAATAATACATTCGGAGTCTGAGGAACGCTCATCCAATTCCACTGCAACGACGATTGATTCCTTACCAAGAATCGGAGGCAGGAAATTTTGTCCAAGGATAACCATCTCAGTTTTTATTTGTCCATCGGTTAATTGATACAACGGGACAACTGTTATATTTTTTTATTTGTGTTTTTTTTTTAAATATTTCAGTTTTCCTTAATCCGCTTCAAATTATTCGAGCCATTCCGGGGAGATTATAGTTCTTTATTTGTGGTTCCTTTAGAATGTTTCAATTTTTCATTAGGTATTTGCTTCGTATTATTCAAGCAATCTCGATACCGAGGAGGGGCAGCGTGTATTTTTGTTGTTGCAAGAAGGATCGATGAACAAATTCCAGGCGATCCGTGGCGGAGTCTCGGTCACAGATTAACCAAGTTACGCAGAATTCTACGGGAAAGCGCATCACCGCAGGCTTCGCTCTCAAGGTTCTGAGGAAGCCTGTTTGCGCACGAGTTCTGACGATCTCGTCGCAGATGAAAGATAACCGGCGGCCAATCCGAGGCATCGCAGCGCGTTTCATCGAGATTCGCCAACTTCCGATAACGCGGCTTTGATCATCCAGGCCGTACCGAGGAATTTAACAACGTCACATCATTCTTCCACCGACGCCAATTGTTTTCATAATTGCATTTAAAAAATGAATTATAGATTGAGATTTCCTTTATATTTCAAAAATAAAAATATACGTTGCTATCTGTATCATTGAATTCCTCATATTTTCTACACATCCAATTTTTCCATTAAATTAGATTTCTATTTTCGACGCCAGAAATAAAACTTGCTGCCTACGCTTTATCCCTGATCTGTTAAAGATGTCAGGTGGCAAGAACGTTCGGTTCGGAATTGTTTATCGACGTGCACGGCGCTTAACGGGGTGATGAGTCGGTTGGCGCCTGCCGGCGTTCCCAGTTCCCACGTGCTCCTTAAGTCTGGTTTCTCACGGGGGCCACCGTGGAATCTGTCGCTCGCGATTCCGCGATTACAATTTACCGATGTTCCTCGATCATTAATCCGCCGCGCGTAGGTATTAGACCGGCTCGAAGGGAATCATCGCCGGGATCCCTTTTTTCTAGATTCTCGTGACCCGTGTGAAACCGGTTACGCGCCGGACTTTATTCACGAGCTCTCGCGTGATTTATGCCTGATACCCTTCCGAAGGAAAAAATCTGATTTTTTGCCTGAGCCGAGGTCTCGCGATTCTTTTCATCCCTTCACGCGTAAATTGAACCGTTCTAAATTATCCCGGACTCGAATCTCGTTCCTAGAAACCGACTGTTGCATAGGCTGACTTCCTTAGCTCGCTACCGTTGATCGATTCTACGCGTCTAGTATAGAAGATGAAAGAATTCATTCAATGTGTACGCGAATGCAAATTTGTAAACTGATAACGCGGGTGCAGTTTGCAAATGACACTGTGCACTGTTACTTTACAAGTTACGAGTCGCGGTAGTAGAAGTCAACGTACGTTCGGATTCCATCAAACGGGAATTCATCTCCGTAAATCATCAGCGACGGCCATATTCGGCTCACGTAATACACCCACTTAACGTCGACGATATAAACTTTCGACTCGGAGTTCGCATGCCGGTGCATTTTCACCTTGGCTCGTGGCCGTCGGTTTAAGACCCGCCAGGCACGTACGTTACGTGCACCTACGAATAAAAACAACCGGAGAACGGCAAATGTCACGGTACCGCAGCGCAGGAGAGCGCACGGGAATCCTTTGCCTACAAAAATAGGTCGCACGCGTTTTATCGCTCTTCTAGTACCCATCGGTTTTTCGACGTAATTTTATTTTATAGTTGAAGGCTGAGAGGTTCGGTTTCAAATGGATGATTCGATACTATCGAAGGACGTTGCACTTTCTGAAACGCGGAAGACTGAGTGCAACCGGAGCGTTCGATAGAGAAATTCAGGGGACAAAAAGGATAAAGACAGGCGCGTGGAAAAAAGTGGCGTCGGAGTAAAAGGGGCTGAGAGAAAGGAAGAACGAAAAGAAGGGAATCGAGCGTGGCTGGTTCACACGATCGAATCGCATCGGGAGAGACTACTCGTCTTGCTTTCGATACTTTGCTCGCCCGCCTCCTTCCATGGAACTCTCGTTCTCGACGGTACCGACGCGACGCGACGACGGTGTAGCTCGTCTTTTTTCCTCCAGCGGTGACTTGTTACAGAAACACGGCGCAGAGAAACGAAAGGCCGAGAGCTGACTTTTTTCCGAATCCCGGATCGTACGACCGGTAAACTTGCTAACGGAATGGATAAAAACGTTCTACGTTCTTCGGCGTGTAAACGAGTAAGTACGAAAAGAAAACGAACGATACACGGGACGATTTCGCCTCTAGTATGGGCATTCGAAAGGAATTGACGTGACTCTCATACCGATGCCTCTAGCTACCTGCGCAAAGAAATTCGAACCACGATTCCACGATTTCTTCAAAATAGAATGTCGAAGCACCGTGGGCATAATTGTTCTGGAGATCTAATAGGACGATCCACCGAGGCGACACTATTAAAGAGTGGCAGCGTCCGTGTAATCGTTGGAACAGCGAATGGGGAGAACAATTCCGATCACGTAAAATTATGCAACCGTGGATCGGCGCCTATTTATTCACGACTTTCGTAAAAAGTCTAGACAGGTTTGAGAAATCCACGAGGCGTCACGTTTTAACAATAAAGTTTCGCGACGGACAAAACGCGTCACAATCGAGTAATAATGTAACGGTCTGGTTACTGGCGTAAATAAACCGCACGCCATCGATCCCTCGTGAGTGTACGTTCGTAATGCTAGAAGCACGAGCCTTCCAGGAAATTGAAAGAACTTCGCAGGTGCCGGTTTACTGACAGATCTCATCCGTCTCGTAACATATCCAATTGGAAAAGTGATTTCAACCCTGTAAAATCTAGCACGTTTTCCTAATTTATCGTCCTAACTCGGAACGTGTGTCGTGACGTAATTTTGGTACCGTGAAACCGTGTTCGAAGGGTTAACCGTGGACCAGAGCAGCTCGACACCCTAGCACCGAAACCGAGACCGTTCCGATTTCAGAAGCAAACCGAGAAATTCGATCGAGTCACAGTCACGACGTGATTTATCGCTAGCCGCGTTCCGTTTTGCCAACAATGTTTTGGCTGTCAGAGTGAAACGCGCGGAGGCTCGCGTAATATAAAACGATGGTGCATTAAACCGGATTACCCGAGCGAGGAAGAAGGAAGAAGGAAGCCGCAACCTCGGATAGTGGCCTGCGTGTTAAACTACTTAAGTAAACGAGGCCTATTTTTCACGCCCATCCGCCGCATGCGTTTCGCAATCTCTTTCTCTCTCGCTCGTTCATTCACCGAATCCAGGCCTGAGCCCCGGGAGAAAGGTAAAGGCCTTGAGACAGACTGATAATTGGTCGATGTTTGCACGGGGATTATTCATTCGTCGAATTCGATTCCGCCTGACGCGCAGAGTCAATAACGACCATTTACAACGAATAATTAGTCACTGAAACTGTTCTATGCATTTATCATAAGACTCGCATTGATTTTATTTAGATATCGATACCAACTTCGGTGAAATTCCTTGAACCTAAGGCGTGTATCATTTTCCGTACGACATGTAAATTACACGGACGGCGCTAGCAATTTCTCCGAGGCGAAGTATGAGAGACGGTCGCCTACATAATGAATGATCGTCAGTAACCCAGACGGAATTAAGGCCCACGGGTTTACATTGTTTGATTTGGTTACAATGAGACTGGCTCGAGACGTAACTGTCCGTGAATATCGGTTCGCCGTCACGTATCCCGGATGACAATTCTCTCTCGAACGAGAGACAGACGCCGCCGCGCCGTCCGCAATTTCTCCGACCGACAAACGACGCTCTCCCTCGGTACAGAGTCAATTTCACTTAGACGGAATTAACGAATTCCACTATCTACACACAATATCAAACGTGCTCAACGAATGCATCTGATTTAAAGTGGTTTGCAAAAACCGTAAGGAAATCGTCGTCGACGTGTAATATGTAATTTGTTTATCTTTATAGACGTAATTGGGATCTAGGCTTGTGCCTCGTTGGGGGCAAACCAATAAAACCGTCTGACGTTGTGGTTTATTTTTACAGCTCGCCATGAATGGGTTAAGAAAACAGGCAACTGAATGCATACGTGGTCACTTGATTTAGCGAATTGAGACAGCTGGTGGAATAATGTTGCAAGTCAGCGGTTCTATTGGTCGGGGCATCCAATAAAAGAGCGGCGAGCGGTCGCGTGCGAATTAAAATTAGTGTCATTCGCCAGCTATTAGCTAGGATGAATGACGCGGATCGTTGATGGACCTCGCGATATGCACCGTCATAACGTGTCATCATATGTCACAACAACGTGTTGCCAGTAGGGGAACGCGCGCAACCTAGCTCTCGTACGAAATAGCAATGATTTCGATCCGCGTTCCAACTGTTTGTTCCAAATTCGTTCGTTACGTTAATTGCTCTCTCGTTATTCGGTAATGCCAAAATGCAGGAAATAGCAATTACTTCATCGTGTCTCCTTAAAGTCTATTTCGACCAGGATACTATTAATATGAAATTATTTAATACATCGTTATACCTGCTATTCGGCGATGCCAAAACGTATGAAATAACAATTACATCGCCTCGGTGCCGTTTGCCTCGAGATTAATTCGACTCCGGGTGAGTTGACTCAGGAAACAGGATCCTCTTAATAGTTAATAGCCGACGCGAAACACCGAAAGCGTTAACGACAAAACCGATCGGTCGCGGTGGAATGCGTCAGGCGCAAAACCACACCTAAATAGCGTTCGACAGGTAATGCAAGCGGACAGGCTATTTTGTGTATCCTGCCGTGCCCTGTCCGGTTGCTATGATTCAATCATCAATCAGATAGCATTATGCACGCGTCTTAATGAACGGTTAGAGGACCGTGAACGAATCTCACTTTCATCGCCGGTTGCGCAATTTCTATTTACTCTAGATTATCTACTCCGCATACCGACGTTAAATATAAAAAGGATCTAAGCTCGAGTCGAAAAACTCTGTGCAGAATTATTTTCAGTACATTCCTTTACAGTTCATTAGTTCTCGAGTTTTAACTTTACGGTAAACGCGCATCTAATATCGCGAACGGATATACGATAAGTGCAGCGCTGGTTAGACAACGCCTAACGCGCTGGAAACTATTAAAGAAATCCCACCACCTCCTACCCGCATTTTCCGAGGTCATTGGCTGCTTTATTACGGACATCGTTCGATACGCTGTTGAACAAAATCGAAAACGTGTCTGATTGATCGTTAATCGATAGCGCGCAGATTTTTATGCAAAATAAAACATTCGTCGACTCGAATTGTACGTTTCGCGTTCTACAGATCCAATTTTTCTATTAATTAACGAAAGGAGGGAGTTCTCGGCTCGTTGCAGCGATGAGAAATAAAACGCGGAAAAAACGTGAGGAAGCTCGCAAAAAGGCAAGGGAAAGAGAGGAGCGAAGAAACACACCAGTGGTGGTGGTAAGTCGTTTTGTGTCTGCAGCCCGTCTAAATATACGCGTGCCTCTCCTCGGCGATGCAGCCTTTCTCGCATGCGACACTCATCGTCGGAAACAGAGCCACGGAGAGAGAAAGACGGCATCCCTTCAAGAGAAATCTTTG